AGAATAGAAATGAGAAATTAAATTGGCCACCTAATATATATAGAAAATATTAACTCGGCGTATGGGGCGCATGCCCTGGTGAGTCTCAAGCTACTCGCGGGGGCTGGGCAGGAGGATTCGCTTGAGCCGCAGTTTGAGGGTTGCTGTGACTAGGCTGTGACGCACGGCACTCTAGCCTGGGAACAGAGCAAGACTCTGTCTAAAAAAAAAAAAGAAAAAAGAAAGAAAGAAAGAAAAAAAGAAAACCAATACAGCATCTGTGCCAATTCTCTAGAAAATGATGTTCGATTTCAACTCATTCTTAACAGTCAAATCCACGAATTTTGAGACAGTTTGACAAAAAGATCAAAGTAGCACGTAAATAAACATATGTGAACAAATGTGTTTAAGAAACTGAAAAAGAGAAATAGAAGCAAGCTAGCCCGTCCCCGCAGCGAGCACTACACAGAGAGCCTACGACGAGAGCCTAGAGATCATAAAAGGACAAATAGTATAACCCTAATGGAGTTTGGCATATGACAAAGAAGACATTTCTTTTCTTTTTCTTTTTTTTTGTTTTTTTTTTTTTGAGACGGAGTCTCACTCTGTTGCCTGGGGTTAGAGTGAGGTGCCGTGGTGCGTCAGCCTAGCTCACAGCAACCTCAGACTCCTGGCTCAAGCAATCCTCCTGCCTCAGCCTCCCAGTAGCTGGACTACCAGGCATGCACCACTTGAGCCGGCTAAGTTTTTCTGTGTATATATTTCATTTGCCAATTAATTTCTTTTATTTGTTAGTAGAGATGGGGTCTCGCTCTTGCTCAGGTTGCTCTCAAAAAAAAAAATGACAAAAAAGACACTTTGTATCTGGTGTAATATGGGCAACCGGATACACCTTCTCTTCCCTTTTCTGAGAGACCCCCCCTCACCCCCAGCAAAAAGGCACTGCACTGAACGAGTGGGGCCGTCCAGGCTGGAGCGCAGAATGTGGCTTTTATTTTTTGATTATATTTATTTTTTATTTATTATTTTTGAGGACAGTGAGGTCTCACTTGTTGCCAGGCTAGAGGGTGGGAGTGGCCATGGTGTCAAGCCTATCACAGGCAAGCTCAACTACCTGGGCTCGAACGATCCTCCTGCACTCAGCTAGCCGAAGTAGCTGGGCACTCAGGCATGCATCCACTGCCCGCGCTAATTTTTTGTATATATTTTAAGTTGGCAATTAATTTCTTCCATTTATAAGTAGAGGACGGGTCTCGCTCTTGCTCAGGCTGGTTCGAGACTCCTGACCTTAAGCGCATCCTGCCTTGCCTCCCAGAGTGCTAGGATTACAGGCGTGGGCCAACTCACCTGGCCTGCCTTTTATTAATATCTATTCCACCACCTATTGCTGTGTGACCTGGAGATTGTTTCTTAACCTCTCTGGTCCTCAGTCACCTCATCTGTAAAGTGGTGATAAGAGAACCCCTTGCCCTGGAGGGCCGTTGTGCAGATTAAATGAGTTGACGAACGTTGGTAGTTAGAATTTAGGATGGAAGTTGCCAAGGATATAAGCTATTCTCATAAAGACCCAAAGCATCTGCCAAGAAATATCAGTTCAGTCCTTAGTTCTCCAACGTGAGTGGACAGCAGCAAATGCTGTCACAGAGGCCCAGCTGTGTGAGAGAGAGGAGCAATGACACAGACACAGGAAAACGAATCTGTTAGGAAACAAGGGACAGGGAACAGGCCGGGTGCAGTGGGTGGCTCACACCTGTAATCCTAGCACTCTGGGAGGCCGAGGCAGGTGGATCACTCAAGGTCAGGAGTTCGAAACCAGCCTGAGTAAGAGTGAGACCCTGTCTCTACTATAAATAGAAAGAAATTAATTGGCCAACTGATATCTACAGAAAAAATTAGCCAGGCATGGTGGCGCATGCCTGTAGTCCCAGCTACTCGGGAGGCTGAGGCAGGAGGATCGCCTGAGCCCAGGAGTCTGAGGTTGCTGTGAGCTAGGCTGACACCACGCACTCACTCTAGCCTGGGCAACAAAGCAAGACTCTGTCTCAAAAAAAAAAAAAAAGAGAGACAGGGAACAGATGGTAACTTATGGGAGGCAAAAAGCCAACTTGACATCCCCTATAAACATGAGAAAGTGATGCTGCAAGTAAAAAGCAGGGAACAACAAAGAATTCTTAAAAATTAAGACTTAAATTGTTGGCCGGGCACGGGGGCTCATGCCTGTAATCCTAGCACTCTGGGAGGCCGAGGCGGGAGGATTGCTTGAGGTCAGGAGTTCGAGACCGGTCTGAGCAAGAGCGAGACTCCCGTCTCTACTAAAGATAGAAAAGAAATTAGCCGGGCATGGTGGCGCATGCCTGTAGTCCCAGCTACTCGGGAGGCTGAGGCAGGAGGATCGCTTGAGCCCAGGGTCGCTTTGAGGTTGCTGTGAGCGAGGCTGACACCACGGCACTCTAGCCTGGGCAACAGAGTGAGACTCTGTCTCGAAAAAAAAAAAAAAAAAAGCCGGGCGCGGTGGCTCACGCCTGTAATCCTAGCTCTCTGGGAGGCTGAGGGCGTGGATTGCTCGAGTCGGGAGTTCGAAACCAGCCTGAGCAAGAGCGAGACCGTCTCTACTATAAATAGAAAGAAACTAATTGGCCAACTAAATATATAGAAAAAATTAGCCGGGCATGGTGGCCGATGCCTGTAGTCCCAGCTACTTGGGAGGCTGAGGCAGTAGGATCGTTGAGCCCAGGATTTGAGGTTGCTGTGAGCTAGGCTGACGCCACGGCACTCACTCTAGCCCTGGGCAACAAAGCGAGACTCTGTCTCAAAAAAAAAAAAAAAGAAAAGAAAACACCCACAGTATGTTTTCAGCATAAGAGCAGGTACGATCATCCCAGGACAAAGCGAGTCTTGTTCATGGGTGCATGTGTGCACATAAATTCGTAAGAGTCTGGAAGACCCGCTAGTCTGTGGTCTGGGATTGAGGAGCTGGTGTCCCACCAGGCTTCACTGACTTGTTTCTATGTTGGGTTTCCACTTGTTCTGAGCATGAATTATTTAAAGGTGGCGGGGTGGGGGTGAGGGACAAACCCCCAGGGGTTGAGTCAGCAGGGAGGGTCAGAGCGGCGGCCTACCTGCCCAAGATGAAGGCAATGTACACGAGGGAGGAGAAGTGTGCAAAGAACTGCAGGATGAAGAACAGGACCGTGAACTTCCTCTCCCGCTCCGCGAAGGTCCTGGGCTTCTCTGGAATGAGACATGGGCTGTCCCTTGCCAGCCCTGTGGCCCTTGTGTCTCTCCCGATCTGAGCAGCCAGCCTGCTCGAGGGTGAGGCCCAGGGGCAGCAGGAAGGACCCCTCCCCAGGTCTCTGATCTGGGCTCCAAGACTCCCAGCCCCGGATCCTCCCGCTGCGTCTCCTCCTCTCACCAAAGTCACAAAGCTTCAGGGCCACCGCCTTGTTGACCTGCAGGAGGAAGGAGGGCGCTGAGTGGGGCCTGCCAGGCCTCAGGGGACCCCCGGCCCGCCCCCAGCCTGCCACACCCCACCTTGGTCATGATGACTATGGTCATGTAGTGCACCAGGGCCCCGGTCGCCACCACGGCCGTGGTGACCTGCTCCTCCAGGAAGGGCAAGGCCAAGCTGCTGAAGAGGGCGGCGGCCAGCACGCGGTAGACCACCAGGACGTGGGCCATGCCGATCATGAAGCAGATCTGCAGGGTGGCTGGCATGGGTGGGGGCTGGGGAGGGGCTGCCCCGGCTGGGTCCCCCGTCCCCCACGCGGCTTCCCCAGGAATACCATGAGCAGAGACACGGCGAGGATGATGCTGCTGCGCCAGTAGGAGTGCTGGTGCCGCCGGAGCTTGTAGTCGGGGCAGTTAATGAGCTGGAGCGCCATTTCTTCCTGGGGAGGGCCCAGGCAAGCCTCAGAGGCAGGGACGCATGCCTTGGGCCTGGGGACACACACCTCAGACATGGGGACACACCTCAGACGTGGGGACACATGCCGTGGATGCAGGGACACACCTCGGACGTGGGGCACAGACGGGGCGCATGGGGCTGAGAGCACACAGGCCGGGCACAGGGGCCTCAGCGCTGCCTCACCTGGTCCTCGTCCCACCCGTACAGGTCCCAGTGCAGCACCACGCGGGCTCGCTGCCGCTTCCAGATCTCCAGGAACACCGTGGCTGCGTGACAGGAGGGGCGTCAGGTGCGGCCCTGGGGTGGGCCTGGGGTGGCCTTGGGCAGGGCGTGGGGTGGGCCTGGGGTGGCCGTGGGCAGGGCGTGGGGTGGGCCTGGGGTGGCCGTGGGCAGGGCGTGGGGTGGGCCTGGGGTGGCCGTGGGCGGGGGGTGGGGTGGGCCTGGCGCTCAGGCCCCACCTTGCCCCATAGAGGCACCGGGTGGCAACTCACCCCACAGAGCCATGAAGATGGCAAACACCACCGTGCTGTCGTTGTCGAAGAGGTGTGTGAGCTGGGGAGAAGGGGTGTGAGCTGGGGAGAAGGGGGTGCACTGGGGAGAAGGGGGTGCACTGGGGAGAAGGGGTGCGCTGGGGAGAAGGGGTGCGCTGGGGAGAAGGGGTGCGCTGGGGAGAGGGGGGTGCACAGGGGAGAAGGGGGCGCGCCGGGGAGAAGGGGGCGCTAGGGAGAAGGGGGCGCTAGGGAGAAGGGGGCGCTAGGGAGAAGGGGGCGCTAGGGAGAAGGGGGCGCCGGGGAGAAGGGGGCGCTGGGGAGAAGGGGGCGCTAGGGAGAAGGGGGCGCTAGGGAGAAGGGGGCGCTAGGGAGAAGGGGGCGCCGGGGAGAAGGGGGCGCTGGGGAGAAGGGGGCGCCGGGGAGAAGGGGGCGCCGGGGAGAAGGGGGCGCTAGGGAGAAGGGGGCGCTGGGGAGAAGGGGGCGCTGGGGAGAAGGGGGCGCGCCGGGGAGAAGGGGTTTCCCTGGGGTGGGCGTCCTCGCCAGCCCCCGCAGACGGTGAGCTCTGCGGTCCCGGGCCTCAGCCCATCTCCACCTGGACACACCTGCTCGCCCTTCCACCCCAGGGGCAGCGAACCTTGGCAAAGGTGCAGGTGTCTGAGAGCCGCTGGAACTTCCGGCCGTGGTCGCCGAGAGGACACAGAAAGATGGTGTGGGCATCACAGATCTCCTTGCTGGGGTGCGGGGATGGGCTGGGGGTGACTCTCCCGGAGCACGGCCCCCGCCTGGCCCACCCGGCCCCGCCCAAGGTCTCCAGGCCCCGCCCACAGGCTGCCATGGCCCCGCCCACCTGATCTGGCTGGACTCGAAGAGAGTGAACCCGCTCAGAAAGATGCCCAGGCCCACCAGGGCTGCGGGCACCAGCATGCAGGTGTACCAGCCGAGCCAGACGAAGTAGAGCGCCACCTTCTCACCGAAGTAGTCCCTGTGGGCACAGCTGTCCCGTTAGGGCGGCCCTCCCTGCCCCCCAGGGTGGCCGCCACAAGGGCCAAGGCCTAGGTGGGGCGTGGCCACACGTGGGGAGGAGTGTCTGTCTTGGTAGCATCAGTGTCCAAACGGGGTCGCGTCCGTGGGACAGGTGCGGGGTGCAGGCATGTCTGTGGGTGCAGGCAACCTGTCGGGCAGTACTACCTGATCTGGTCGATGGGCTGCCTGCGGCCCATTTTCCTCCACTGGGCCCAGGTCTTCTTCAGCTCTGCCTCCCCCTGGCACAGGTGAGGGACTTTGAGAGCTCCTGTCCTGGGCTCCCAGGCCACAGGCCCCCTCCTCCCAGTCACCCTGTCCCTCACCTTGTGCAGGGGGAACTTGGTCTCAAAGACTCCATCCTTCACCAAATCCTCGAATGTCTCTGGGGGGGGGTCACAGGGCATCTTGAGTCCAAGGGGAGTGTGGGCCCAGGGAGACCCTGCCCTTAATACCCTTGTCCCAGCCCCTCCGGCCACCGGCCCACCCAGCCCTTACTTCCATCTGCCGTTGTCTTTCTCAGGATGAAGTCCAGGACTCGGATTCTGAAACCCAAGAGCCAGGTTGGGAGAGCCCCCAGTGAGCTCTGTGGCCCCAAGGTCCTGACCGGCCCTCTGGTCTGGCCAGGCCCACAGCCCTCCCTGTCCTGGAGGGTCCCCCAGACCACCAGCCCTGACCAGAGACCAAAATGCAGAACCCGCCTGGAAGCCCACCGCACACTCTGCAAAGTCCTCCCAGTCCTCCAGGATTGTGGGACTCTGCTGGGCTCCCCTCCACCTGCACATCCCTCCTGGCCTCCCGGCCGCACCCCACTCCAATCGCACCCCCACCTGCTAGTGCTGCATGGCCAGAGCACACCTGAGGTTCATGTGCACAAACCCCCTTGACCCTGGCGAGCTGTTCTGCCTAAGCCCAGACTGCGGCTCAGGGAGGGCGAGGAGGTTCCCACGCCCCACTGCCAGGAGTCTGACCACAGGGCCCCTCTGGGGAGCTTACCCCAGGCCTGCTACCACTGCTCAGACTCCCTCTCACTCCTCCCAGACTGTGGCTCTGCCTTCTCAGGGGCCTCCGCGGCCTGGGAACCACTCCCAGGAGCACCTTGGCCAGCCCCGGCCAGGGCCTGAGAGGGCTAGGTGGGGAGGGGCCGAGGGTGGGCTCCGATGGAGCAGGTGGCTCTCCCTGCCCGGCCTCCAGGTCTGTGCCTGGGAGAGCCAGGAACAGACGTCCAGGAAGGTGCACTCTACCTGAATAGGAGGGGTCTGTGGGGGAGGGTGGCTTTGGAGTCCAGGAGGGCTGGCGGGGCGGGGTGGGGGGGCTCTGGGCCTCTCCAAATCCTGCCCACCCTCCAAGCCTGGCTCGACTCGGGAACTTCAGAACCCTCCAGAGAGGCCGGGCGCGGTGGCTCACGCCTGTAATCCCAGCACTCTGGGAGGCCGAGGCGGGTGGATCGCTCAAGGTCAAGAGTTCAAAACCAGCCTGAGCAAGAGCGAGACCCCGTCTCTACTAAAAATAGAAAGAAATTAATTGGCAAAAAAATAATTAGCCAGGCATGGTGGTGTATGCCTGTAGTCCCAGCTACTCGGGAGGCTGAGGCAGAAGGATTGGTTAAGCCCAGGAGTCTGATGTTGCTGTGAGCTAGGCTGACACCACGGCACTCTAGCCTGGGCAATAGAGTGAGATTCTGACTCAAAAAAAAAAAAAAAAAAGAATCCTCCAGAGGTCATCACCCCTCATCACGGACATGGAAACTGAGGCACGGTGCCACGCCGACACAGCCAGTGGGTCTGAGCCCTTGTGGCCTTCACCCTGAGACCACATGGGGCCAGTTATCCTGCATCAGGGGACACCTGGAGCCTTGGACGTGGCCCCTCGCTCCACCTGGACCAGGCTGTGGGTGGGCGAGGGGCTCTGGGCAGGGCCTCTCACCTGGTGGTGGCTGGGATGGGGCTCAGCGTCTCTGTCTCTGGCTCCACTCTGGACCCAGGGCCCTCGGGGTCCAGGAGCAGGGCGCGGTACAGGTCAAAGATGCTGTTGTCGGCTCGGATCCCAAAGAACACCTTTTTCTTGTCTCTATTCACCTGGGGTGGGGGCCACATGGGACCCTCTGTTCCACCTGGGAACCCTTCCTCTGCAGCCACTGCCACTCGCCTGTCCCAGCACCTTGGGCACAAGGCCACGGCCCCCTCCCCAGCCCCCTCCCCTGGGCCCCTTTGGGACAGGGGCGCACCTTGAAATAGAAGCCCTTTCTCCTGAGCTCCTCCAGGAACTGCTGCTGCTGGTACACCTGCCTGGGCTTTCCCTGGGTGCTACGGTTGGCCACGAGGACATAGTCCCATTGCTCAGAGGCCTCGGTCTGCAGGAGGGAGGTGCATGGCTGAGGGCAGGGGCACAGGCAGGGCAAGCAGGCCCAGGCCCAGAAGGGGTCCCCCAACACTCACCTTGCAAGCATGGATCTCCCTCAGCGGGAAGCTGTCCGCTTCTGTTCCCACCAGGATCGGGAGGCTCTCGTAGCCCTGGGGGTTGGTGGCAGACAAAGGGATTTGGGGAGCAGCAGGGTGGGAGAGCCGGCTGGGCCACCCTTTGGGGTGCTCAAGCCCTGAGGGGTCAAGACGCACTGCCCCTCCTTCACAGCACTGGGGGAGGGGCAGCTGAGAACAAGTGACAGGTGACTTCAGGGGCAGGTGGGTTCAGGTGGTGGCAGCAGCAGGGCAGGGCCGGAGGGCCAAGACTGCAACAGCCAGTGGAGGTGTGTGTGGGGCCTGCGGGAAGAGCTCCTGCTCATCACACAGGAGCCCCAGGAGCGGCCAGCCGACCAGCACGGGCGCTTGCGGGCTGCTGGCGGCCTGAGCACAGCGAGCAAATGTCAGACACACCGTGCACCACGTTTAAACTCAACCCCCCTAGACTGGACCCCACGGCCTGGCCGTCCACCCTTGAGGATGAACACAAGGGCATGTGCATGGTAGCACCGTCTCGTAGCCCCCTGGGGGTGGATGCTGAGCTCCTCCACACACCTGTCCCGGACAGGTGACACCAAGGTGCCTCGGCCACATGTGTCTGAGGAGTAATTGTGTGGCCCTCAGGGACAGACAGCGGGGTGAGTCAGGAGGAAGGGGCTTCCTGGGCCTCAGAGTCGTCCCCTGACCATGACTGGGTAGCCTGGGGGAGTCGAAAACCCTTCTGTGTTCCTTCCTCTTTTTTTTTGAGACAGTCTTGCTCTGTTGCCTGGGTAGAGTGCCGTGGCGTCAGCCTAGCTCACTGCAACCTCCAACTCCTGGGCTCAAGCCATCCTCCCACCTTGGCCTCCAGGAGTGCTGGGAATACAGGTGTGAGCCACCCTGCCTGGCCTCTCCTCCCTTTTTGCGTGTGGGCTGGACCTAGTGACTCATGAAGACAGCGTGGGCAGGGGAGAACAGTCCCTTTGCACGCCCTGCAGACCCACTGAGGAGGGTGAAGGTTGCCTACAATGTCATTTTTTTTTTTTTTTTTTTTTGATACAGAGTCTCACTCTGTTGCCTGGGCTAGAGTGCCGTGGCATCAGCCTAGCTCACAGCAACCTCAAACTCCTGGGCTCAAGCCATCCTCCTGCCTCAGCCTCCCGAGTAGCTGGGACTACAGGCATGGGCCGCCATGTGCAGCTAATTTTTTGTATATATTTTTAGTTGGCCAATTTCTTTCTATTTTTAGTAGAGATGGGGTCTCGCTCTTGCTCAGGCTTGTCTCGAACTCCTGACCTTGAGCAATCCTCCCGCCTGGGCCTCCCAGAGTGCTAGGATGACAGGCTACAATGTCATCTTGATGTCAGGGACCCCAAGGGACATGAGGAGACAGGACATGTCCTCCTCCCTCCCTGAGAGGAAACACTGGACAAGTCCAAACGGAGGGACGTCCCCAGGAGCCTGGCCACACTCACAGAGGTTACAGTACCAAGACATGGAGGGATGGGGCTGTCCCAGCTGGCAGTGCCTGGGGAGGCACAGGGACCCCAGAAGGACAAGGCCTGCAGCAGGAGCGTACCATGAGAGGGGTGAGCATGCTGGGAGCTGTGTCCACCCAAGCACCCTGCCCAACCACCCCCCTGCACCCCGCAGCCAAGTCCAGTTTCTCTCCCAGACTGGGCAGGCAGCAGGGGCGCTGCCCACTCACCCACCATCCCCAGGACGGGAGTCAGGGGAGCCGGTCTAGCCCAGGCTGTCTCTCTGTGTGTCAGACCCTGCTCCTGCTGGGCCAGGTCGTCCCCTGCCAGCTGCCAGCTGCAATCCCTGCCAAGCCCAACACCTGCCTCCTCCAGAAAGTCTCCCTGGACTGCTCCAGCCAGTCGGCCCTCGAGGGCTGCCAGGTGAAACAGGCCACCCAGCACATCTGAGTTTCAGATTAGCACAGGTACTTATTAGTGTAAGTGTGTACCGACTATTGCATGGGACATACTTACACCAAAAGAATTGTTTACCTGAAATTCAAATTGTTTGGCTAAGTCTGCAGCCCTGCTCCAGTCCACACCCCACCCACCCCCACACACACACCCACACACACGCACAAAGGAGCTGCTGGCTCCAGGTCGGGGCCTGGTCTGCCCCCTCGCTCACTCTGCCTCCATCTCAGAAGCCAGGAAATGCATCACACCCAACAACAGACTGGCAGGTGCTCGGGCAGAAGACGCCCCAGTCACATGCAGAAGGGGCTAACGCAGGCATCTTCTCTGGGCCTGGCCTCCTGGGCACTGAGGTTCTCGCCCCAGGGTGTTCACGGGGCTCCCTCGGCCCTCTGGCCCCTCTGAGAGTGGCCATTCCCTCTGCCCACGTCAGCCCTTCCTCTTCCTCTGACAACACTCTCCCCTTCTGCCTGACTCACGAGTACTGCCCGTCTTGCCACCGAGAGCCACAGACACCTGCGCTAAGGTGTGGCATGCAGCACCTGAAACTTCTCCCCCGTCTTGGGTCAAAAGAGAAGCCCTGGCCGGGCGCGGTGGCTCAACGCCTGTCATCCTAGCACTCTGGGAGGCCAAGGCGAGAGGATCCTTTGAGCTCAGGAGTACAAGACCAGCCTGAGCAAGAGCGAGACCCCCCGTCTCTACTATAAATAGAAATAAATTAATTGGCCAACTAAAAATATAGAGAAAAAATTAGCCGGGCATGGTGGCGTGTGGCTGTAGTCCCAGGTGCTCGGGAGGCTGAGGCATGAGGATCGCTTGAGCCCATGTGTGTGGTGAGGTTGCTGTGAGCTAGGCTGACTCCACGACACTCTAGCCCGGGCAACAGAGTGAGACTCTGTCTCAAACAAACAAACAAACAAATAAATAAAAGAGAAGCCTCTGGCTGGGAAAGGTACCTCTGTCTCAGGGGTCACTGGCACCCGGCTCTGTGGCTTGCCCAGGTAAGGGCCAGGAAGTGCCACGTGCAGGAACCAGTGAGTGGAAGGTTCCTTACCTGACCTAGAGCCCAGGAGGAGCCCTCCCGTCCCACGTGTCCATGTCCCCACCTCCTCTGGCAGAGGCTGGAACTAGAGACCCCCTCACATGGGTGAGGACCAAAGCTGAAGAGCAGGTGGGGGGGCTCACACCGGGCAGGACTTTGGGGTGACTCGGACAGAGGAGCCTAGGAGGGGGACTGTCCGTGGGGAACTCTCAAAGTGGGAGGGACAGAAAGCCCCCTCCCCACCAAAGACAAAGTGCAGCTTTGGGACGTTGCCCCAAGCCTCTCAGAATCACCCTCCCTGGGGGCTGGGGTGTGAGTCGGACCCGTGGACAGTGACGCCACCCAAGGCGTCTGCCAGGCCATCCCCACCATGGACATGGGCTGCTGGACAGGGTTCCCAGGCAAAGCTACCCACGCACCTGGGGGCTGCACTGGTCCCTGGCTGCCCTCAGCTGCCCCCTGGGCTGGGGCCACAGCCACTTGCGCAGGCAGGTGAGAGGGCCCCAGCCCAGCCCCCGACAGCCAGGTGGGAGAGGCTCGGAGACTCTGCTGCCCTTACCCTCTGGGCCAGGGAGCCCAGCACCATGGACACAGCCCCTGGCCCAGGGTCAGGCTCTCCGTCTGCCCATCTGTCCTCCAGGCCAGTATTTACAGACCACACCTCATGGTCCCCTAGCCTGACACCCACAGGACCCCGGCTTCTCAGCACGACCTACGGTACCCTCACCAGGTGGGGTTCACCCGAAGTCTCCCCTTCAGCCAGGCGGACTGCTCCCTCAGCTCACCTGAAGCAAGGTGTTCAGGACCCCAGCCCAGATCTGTGAAGCCGTGTGTGGACACACCAGGCTCCCAGATCCTCAGGGCAAGGGTCTGGGTGACCCACCCACTCAGCCTTGCCATGTGTGGACCCACACGGTGCAGGTTCTAGCAAGACAGCTGGCAGAGGAGGGGATGGGTATATACGACCAAACGAGTAAGATATGCAACGTTTGGGGGATGGACACGCTTGAAGCTCTTACTCAATGGGGGGAGGGAGGCATGGGCAATATATATAACCTTAACACTTGTACCCCCATAATATGCTAAAATAAAATAAATAAATAAAGGCCGGGCACAGTGGCTCACACCTGTAATCCCAGCACTCTGGGAGGCCGAGGTGGGTGGATCACTCGAGGTCAGGAGTTCGAAACCAGCCTGAGCAAGAGCGAGACCCCGTCTCTGCTATAAATAGAAAGAAATTAATTGGCCAACTAATATATATATAGAGAAAAAACTAGCCGGGCATGGTGGCGCATGCCTGTAGTCCCAGCTACTCGGGAGGCTGAGGCAGGAGGATCGCTTGAGCCCAGGAGTTTGAGGTTGCTGTGAGCTAGGCTGACACCACAGCACTCACTCTAGCCCAGGCAACAAAGCAAGACTCTGTCTCCAAAAAAATAAAAATAAATAAATAAATAAATAAATAAAATAAAATAAAAAAGACAGCTGGCAGGCCCTGGCTCTCTGTGCCTCAGTTTTCTCATCTGTAGAATTGGGTGACCCTCACCCCTGCCTCACAGTCACCCCAAAGATGTGCCCATGCAGCAAGAGGGTGGATGAAACCACACAGCTGGACACTGTCCTCCCTCCTGTCCTTCCCGCCCCAGCCCTACAGGCCACACTCCCTGTGGTCCGGCCCCTTCCCTGCCAGCTCCAGATCCTGGGTGGGCAGAGAAGAGCTGTGCAGGTGTGACCCCTCCCAGCTCCGGAGCAGGCCTGGCCAGAGGGTCCACGGTCATGCATGTGTGGCATCACTGCGTCCCAAAGCCTGTCACACCCCTCAGCAGCACTCTGGGCCCTCCGGGTTAGGGTCAGGGTTAGGGTCAGGCACCAAGAGGGGCTCTCCTGCCCCCACCACCGTGCACGAGCCCCGAGAGGCCCACCTTGCTGAGCCAGGGCTCCTCACCTCCACCCAGCCTGGACACCCACTGACCACCCTCCCTGAGCAAGCCCTCCCCTCCTGGCTCTGCTCTCTGAGCTCCCAAAGCCATAGCCTGCCCCTCCCCCTGGCTGGCCACCGTCTGTCCTCTGTCAGTTCATCCTTTCACGTGTCTGTTCCCCCGGACACTGGTGCAGGGGCCTGTCCTGTGTGCAGCCATTGCAGGTGAGGGTGCACATGGCGGCTGCCACTACTTGGCAGGGAGGTGGCCTTGCAGGGAAAGAGGTTGGTAGAAGGCAAAAAAGTGGAGCAGCATTCCAGGGAGAGAAAGCATGTGTGGACAGGCCCTGAGGGGCAGGGTGCAGTCAGTGCCCAGGACTCAGCATTCAGTACCTCCCATGGACTCATCACTCAGTACCTGCAGGAACCAAACACTCAGTGCTCCTCAGGGACTAAGCACTAAGCACCTCCCAGGGACTTAGTACTCTTCACCTGCAAGGATTTAGTAGCTACCTCTCCTGGTGACTCAGTACTTAGCACCTATGAGGACTGAATCTTAGTCCTCCCAGGGACTCAGTCCTTAGCACCCCAGCTTTGCAGAAGCATAAAGGGCCAGCAATGGCTGTCCGGAGGGGAGGCTGCAGGTTGGCAGAAGCCAGACCGGAGAAGTCTGCCCAGGCAGCTGGGGAGCTCAGATGTCAGCAGGGGGAAGAAGGGAGCCATGGAAGGGGTCGGAGCAAAGGAGGGGCAAGCCCACACCAAGTCCTCTCGAATGCCCCTCCTTTGAAGGACTGATACTCTCACCTTAGACAAACCGGGTCCCCACCCACCCCTGCCAGCGCTGAGCCTCCTCCACCCCCAGCTTGGGGCTGGCACGGGGAAGGAAGGGGCTGGCAGAGGGGACCCTGGGGCCAGGCCACCAGGTGTCCACATGCTGGCCTGAGCAGCCAGGGTGCCCGGGCTGCACCTGGAAGGGCCAAGAGCCCTGGACAGAGGTGGAGTGAGAGGCGGAGAGGGAGGCTGGTTTCACTCTGCACCGCAGCCCTCGGCCAGCCCGAATTGACCTCTTCCCTGGCAGAGGGGAAAGGGCATCTTCCCGGGTGTTCCTCTGCCCCTTCCCTGAGCCCCATAGCCCTCTGCTCTGCCCCTGGAACCAGAATCCAGCAGTGGCAGGACCCCCAGGAGCAGAGGGTCACCACCTAGCTGGCTGCCCTGTTCCTCCCCAACCCCAAGTCTGCCCACCCTGGAGCCCTGTGCTCCCTCCCGCTCAGGTGCCAGCTGCAGGGCAGAGTCGCAGGTCTGGGGGTCCTGGTCAACAGGCAGGGTCAGGGTGGGCGTGCCCTCTCCTTGGATTGGGTACTCCAGTAGAGACCCAGGTCCCACAGGCTCACTAAGAGCCCAGCCCTGCGGTCCCAAGAACCCCAGGCTGGGTGGGAGGAAAGCTGACCCCAGAGGTCAGGGGTGCTCCTGGGTCCATCCCAGCTCTGGCTGCCCTCACGGCCCTGGCTCTCGGTAGGGAGCCCCCCCCACAGGCGCTCCCAGGTTAGGCGTCTGGGGCCCGGGGATGGCGGATGGGCATGGCAGGAAGGGGTCCACAGGTGTGGACCCCGCAGGGCCATCGCTCACCTGCATGCCGCGTCCTGGAGTCCTGGCAGGTGGCTGACCGAGTGCAGCCGGCTGGGAGGTGGCACATCTACCTGACTTCCGCGTGGGACTTGCCCCTCCTCCTACTTGGTCCCTCCCGCCTTCCTGACCCTGCCAGGTGCAGGGGGGAGGAGCCAGCCCCGGCCAGGAAAGCCCCCACCCCCGGGGCCTCGTATACCTTCGGGGTGGGAGGGGCTGGGGACAGGTGGGGGTGGGGGAGTCTCCTGGTGGTACCCCTGCCCTTCCCCCACAGGCCATCACCCTGCCCTGGGGAGGGGGCTTTGCTGTAAGAGGGGGCTCCCTGGCATCCCCTCCTGGGGGAAGCAGCTGGGCAGGGAGGCCTCCACAGATGGGCACTGGCCATACCCCAGCCGTGACTCTCTGACCCCAGGGCACACCCCCACGCTCCCCCCTGCACCCGACCCTCCACCTCCACGCCTGTCCAGGGCTTATCCCCTTAGCGAGGAAATGGTGCAGAGAGGATTCAGCACGAGGCAGACCCCTCACTTCTCCCACTGAGCCCCTGTCGTGTGGACCCCAGCTGGTGGGCCCCTGGGCTCTGGGGGACACCTGGCTGGCTGAGCTGCGTGGAGGACTGAGGGGGAGGCCCCCACATCCCCAGTTCCAAGCAGTTCTGGGCCAGCTAGGGCGGCCTGAGAGTGACCCTCCCGTGGGAGCGCCCCGAGGAGAGAGAGCAGATTGTCCCAACAGGGAGGGCACCAGACCAGTGGGACATGGCGGGCATATCCACAGCGTGTGGCAAGGAGGTCACCTCTGAAAGCTGCTGCCAAGCTGAGGAGGCAGGGCCAGAGCTCTTCAGGCAGGGCAGCTGGGTGGCAGGGAGCACCCCGGTGTCACTGGGGGGGAGGGAGCACCCCCTGGCATCATGGGGGGGCAGGGAGCACCACCAGCATGATGAGGGAGGGCAGGGAGCACCTCCTGGCATCATGAGGGGGCAGGGAGCACCACCAGCATGATGGGGGAGGGCAGGGAGCACCTCCGGCATCACAGGTGGGGAGCACCCCCTGGCATCATGGGGGGCAGGGAGCACCTCCAGCATGATGGGGGAGGGCAGGGAGCACCCCTGGCATGATGGGGGAGGGCAGGGAGCACCCCCAGCATGATGGGGGAGGGCAGGGAACACCCCTGGCATCATGGGGGAGGGCAGGGAGCACCCCCGGCATCATGGGGGAGGGCAGGGAGCACCCCAGCATCATGGCACCCCATCATCCAGCCCAGCAGCATTGTCTTGCAGTTCAGGTGCAGCCTTAGGGTCTGTTTGCTCCAGTTTCCCCAAGGAACAATCTGGCCCCTCCCACATTTCTTCCTGGGGGCCCCAGGCTGTGATAGCAGCAGGGACCAGGATTAAACAAGGAGGTGGGAAAGAGGCAACTCCATTGCAGCCACAGTCCAGATGGAATGAGTTAAGATTTGCACGATGGCCGGCGCGGTGGCTCACGCCTGTAATCCTAGCTCTCTGGGAGGCCGAGGCGGGTGGATTGCTCAAGGTCGGGAGTTCGAAACCAGCCTGAGCATAGAGCAAGACCCCATCTCTACTATAAATAGAAAGAAATTAATTGGCCAACTAATATATATAGAAAAAATTAGCCAGGCATGGTGGCACATGCCTGTAGTCCCAGCTACTTGGGAGGCTGAGGCAGGAGGATTGCCTGAGCCCAGGAGTGTGAGGTTGCTGTGAGCTAGGCTGACGCCACGGCACTCACTCTAGCCTGGGCAGCAAAGTGAGACTCTGTCTCAATAAATAAATAAATAAAAATATATAGAAAAAATTAGTTGGGCATGGTGGCGCATGCCTGCAGTCCCAGTTACTTGGGAGGCTGAGGCAGGAGGATCGCTTGAGCCCAGGAGTGTGAGGTTGCTGTGAGCTAGGCTGATGCCACGGCACTCACTCTAGCCCGGGCAACACAGTGAGACTCTGTCTCAAAAAAAAAAACAAAACAAAGATTCGTGTGATGGAAAACCCTAAGTGGTGGTGGCTTAAACTAGCTTCTGTATTTCCCTCTCCCACAGACGAAGCCTGGAGTTAGCTAGTCCTATACTAGGACTTGCTGATTCGTAGTCACCAAGGACCCAGAATCCCTTTAACCTGTTGCTCCACCACCTGAAACACATGGTCCTGCCACATGGCCCAAGATGGCTGCCTGGGCTCTGAGCACCACAGCCACATTCCAGCCAGCAGGAAGAGGAAGGGGTGAAAGAGGCCACCCTACCCTTCACGTGGTTAGTCACATGACCACACCTGACTGCAAGGAAGCCTGGGGAAATGAAAGCTCTTTTCCTGGGGAAAAAGTTAGGGCACTGGGGGAGCCCAGAAGTCTCTGCCCAGTTAGAGTTTCAGAAACAGAATCAGCGAGGGTTGTAGCGCACAGGAGCAACCCCAGCTCAAGAGCCACGTCACCAACCACGCCTGGACTCTCGCTCCAGCCCCCAGCTCAGCCTGCAGAACACTTTGCCCGTTCATTGTGACAATCTGCCAGCAGGTCACCGAGTTCGCCCTGCTCCAGTGTCACTTCAGCCGTCTATGTGGCTGTGCTCTTCTCAAGGACTTTGTTTGTCATTCCCAATTTTATTGCCGCTGGAACACTGTTCTCTCCCATTCCGCCTTCCGAGGGTGTCCTGTGAGGGCCCCTAAGCCGCACGCAGACCTGCTGCAGAGCACACAGAGGTGGCCGCCTGGACTTTGAACCCCGAAGGGAAGGACACCCAGTGAGGGCAGAGGGGAAGGCAGGTCTCATCCAGGTCTATCGGGAGAGGGAATGGGACAGCCCTCGCAGAAAGCAACGCAGCAACAAGTACTAAACGCCTTAAAATTGTTTACACTTCGGTCCGTTAATTTAACTTTTGTAAACTGCTCTAAAGAAAAAAAATTCAAAATTTTTGAATGTCCTTTGCAGCAAAAATTACAAACACACCCAGATGTTCAACAATGGGAAAATGGCAAACATGCTATCTCCATATGCTGATTAAGCGCTGTTAAAATTTATGCTTTCAAAGAGTTTATTGAGGACACAGGAAAATGCTTAAGTGATGACATTAAATGGAAAGAAACATAGATTACAAACATACACACAATTCTTAATTCCAACTAACTTATAATGCATTAAAATACTGGAAGAGGGCCGGGCGCGGTGGCTCACGCCTGTAATCTCAGCACTATGGGAGGCCAAGGCAGGAGGATCGTTTGAGCTCAGGAGTTCAAACCAGCCTGAGCAAGAGCGAGACCCCGTCTCTACTATAAATAGAAAGAAATTAATTGGCCAACTAATATATAGAGAAAAAATTAGCCGGGCATGGTGGCGCATGCCTGTAGTCCCAGCTTTTCGGGAGGCTGAGGCAGGAGGATTGCTTGAGCCCAGGAGTTTGAGGTTGCTGTGAGCTAGGCTGACGCCACGGCACTCACTCTAGCCTGGGCAACAGAGTAAGACTCTGTCTCAAAAAAAAATTAAAAAAAAATATATATATATATATATATACTGGAAGAGTCGGTTGGTATTTGACATTTAACAATGTGAACACAGAGTGGGGAATTATGGTTTCTTCCTATGTTAGTTTGTTTTCAAATTTTCTACCACAAACATATATGAGTCTTTTTTAAAAAATTTTATTGCTATTTTTCTTTTTTTTAATCACCAAGAGAAACATCCTAGTGCATGTATCAGTCTTATAAACATTATTACTAAATGTAGTTTATTATCACATTAAAGTCTGCTGTTACAAATTTCACCTCCCCAGACTCAGCCTTACCTTGCCTTCTGGTTTTGAAGAGGACACAGTGGGGTGACAACTGCTGGCCCCGCCCTGTCTTGAACTTCGATCAAAGGCCTCCTGGGCCTCCTGCTCTTCCCCTGTGGACCCTGGACACTGCTCCCTTTCCTTCCTCCTCAGACTCCAGAAGACTCTGCCCACCAGACCTCCTCCCCTGCAGGCCCCCCATGTGCCCCATTCCTGCAGGGTGAAGAGTGGCCCAGGTGAAACTGCACCATTTGCTGCCCTATCCTCTGCCCCTCAGGAGCCTGTCCTCCCACTCCCCACCCCCTGCACCCTGGGTGTGGCGGCCTGGCCCGGGAGGCTTCTCAGAGGCAGCACCTCCCGGATGGTGCCTCTGAGAACCTGCCTCCTGTCTTCTCTGGGCTGGTCCCAGGTGCCCTGCTGGGCCACTCTGGCTGCAAGTGCCTGTCCAGGCAGGCAAAGTCCCCAGCCTTGGGACCCTGTACGGGAGACCCCTCTCGCAGGCTGGGCTTCTGTCCTTGCCTGCGACAGTAGGGTGGAATAGGGTGGGGACCTGCCCCCTCATGTCCTCATTGCAGGGACAGTTCTGCCTCCCTGCTGTCCTCCAGCACCTTTGAGCCTTAAATTTCTAAGAGTTCCTGTTTCCTGTCTTAGGGAGCAGTGCTGCCACCAAGCTCCCTCCCAGGCGCAGGCGTGCGTGGTGGGGTGGGTTTTCTGTGACCTACAGCAGCGGAAAGAGCGGTCATTGTTTCTTTAGGAATTCCCAGGCTTTCTCTCCCTTCCTTGCAAGGGTATTTTAAGAAAGCATTCTGGCTTACGCCTGTAATCCTAGCACTCTGGGAGGCCGAGGCGGGCGGATTGCTCGGGGTCAGGAGTTCGAAACCAGCCTGAGCAAGAGCGAGACCCTGTCTCTACTATGAATAGAAAGAAATTAATTGGCCAACTAATATATATAGAAAATATTAGCCGGGCATGGTGGCGCATGCCTGTAGTCCCAGCTACTAGGGAGGCTGAGATAGCAGGATTGCTTGAGCCCAGGAGTTTGAGGTTGCTGTGAGCTAGGCTGATGCCATGGGCAACAAAGGGAGACTCTGTCTCAAAAAAAAAAAAAAAAAAAAAAGAAAGAAAGCATTCTGCCGGGGAGAGGGGGGCATGGGCAATATATATAACCTTAACATGTGTACCTCCATAATATGCTAACATAAAAAAATTAATAAATTAAAAAAAAGAGAACAGAGGTTTCTAGAGGATGGGAAGGGTAGCAGGAAGTGGGTAATAGGAAGGGATTTGTAAAGGATACAAAATCATAGCTACATAGGGGGAAAACATTCGAGTGTTCTGTAGCACTGTGATATGACTATAGTTAAACAATAATCTGTATCTTCAAATATCTAGGATAGAGGATATTGAATGTTCCTAATACAAATGAATGATAGATGTTTGAGATAATGGATATGTTCATTAGCCTGACTGGATCATTTATACATTGTATGAATCAGAATGTCACTATGTACCCCATAAAAATGTATAATTACTGTGTGCCAACTTAAAAAATTAAAAACAAATTTAAAAAAACATTAAAAGAAAAAGAAAGAAAGCATTCTGCCAATATTTTCACTGTTTACCACCACGAATGTGACTCCTGCAGGCCTAGGGAAGCTTGGGCTCTTGCTGGCCACACCCACGAGAGCTTTGGCGGGCTCTGTCCCTGGGTACGGCTGGAGTTGGCCATTTCCTTTAAAGTCCCTGCCTCCCTTCAGCATCTGTCAGCTGAGCAAGGCTTCTGTCCCTGGTGGGGGACCTCCAGTCCTGCTGTCCCCAGGGACTACAATGGACCATGTCCTCCAAGGTGCTTGGTGGCCTCCTCTCACCTGCCACGCTATCCCTGAGCCCCCATCCTGCAATGGACTCCACCGGTCCACGCGAGCGGTACCCGAGGGGGTGAGGTGGCCACTTCTGCAGCTGAGTGTGCAACCTAAGGGTGGAGTGGAGGTGAGACCAGGACATCAGGCCTGGGGTGCAAAGCTGCAGATGGAGGGCTTCCTTCAGGTGTGGGGATTCAGGGGAGAGGTTCTGTGGTCCGAGGGAAAGGAGTTGGGCTCGGGCAGGGATGCTCACCAATCTTTCTGTGCCTCAGTTTTATTATGGTCCAAAGTGTGAGAAAAGACCACCTTAGAAACTGAATTGAGCCAAATTGTGAGTCTTTATTTACTGGCCAGGACTACTCCTGTTCTGCAGAGTGGCAGGCACAGAAAAGTAGTGATGAGAAGGGAAAAATGGCCCCTTTTTAAAGGCAAAAAACAAACAAACAAACAAAAAAAAACCCACACTGTAAAAGTCTAATTAGCAAGCACTTTTTACAAAAGCAAGAGAAAGCATTAATCTTATATTTGTTTTTTTATTTGAGACAGAGTCTCACTCTGTTGCCCCGGTCTAGAGTGCCATGGTGTCAGCCTAGCTCAAAGCAACCTCAAACTCCTGGGCTCAAGCAATCTTTCTGCCTCAGCCTCCCAAGTAGCTGGACTACAGGCATGTGCCACCATGCCTGGCTAATTTTTTTCTATATATATTAGTTGGCAAATTAACTTCTTTCTATTTATAGTAGAGATGGGGTCTCGCTCTTGCTCAGGCTGGTTTCCAACTCCTGACCTTAAGCAATCCGCCCACCTCAGCCTCCCAGAGTGCTAGGATGACAGGCCTAATCTTATATTTCTATCTTGTTTTAGCACATGGGGGGGGGGTTGGAGCCTTGAGATGGGTTTTGTAGGAGTCACCGGCTGCAGCTAAGATTCAGCAGAGAGGAAGCCTCTGAAGTATCCTAATTACGGACAACATTAATGTTAGTTAAAATACATTTGCCATCTGTAATCTAAGCCCAAGTGCATTTCACTAGGTACATGAAGCATGCCAGGGGCCCAGGGCATTTCAACCCTGGACTAGTGGCTATATCTTGTGGGCAGCTGTGTGCCATACACCACCGCCCTTCCCCTTATTTTCTAAACTTAATTACCCTAGCACAGGCGAGATGGCAGGTGCAGAGTCAGATAAGGGTCAACTGAAAATTTTCCACTCTCCTAAGCAAGCAAGCAAGCAAGCATAATACAGAAGCCGATGGCTGGTTATTGGCTACCTGTGGTCCCTAGGCCCTAACAAGTTCCTCCGTCTCTAAGTGAGAGACAGAAATAGAACCTAAGGGGTGTGTGTAAAGCCCGTGGCCACAGGTCGGCAGTGACTGCTAACTAACGCGTGGTCTGCGCGCCCAGAGCCCCGAAAAAGAGCACTCAGCCCCTCCCATGCCCTCCCAGATCACTCCCCTTGCCTGCCTGGAGCTTCCCGAGCGACCTTCGACCTTCGAGGCACGGGGCATCCCTCCACCCCGCCTGTGGCCACGCTCCGCTGCTCTCTGTGCAGTTTGGGAGAAACAGCTGTGCCCAGGGAAGGATCCCAACAGCACCGGGCGGCGCCAGACGCGGGGAGAGGCCGGAGGGCCCCTGCAGGGTGGCTCCCCGGGAGAGAGGGGTGGGCAGCAGCCGGCCTGCTCTGGGCAGAACTTCCCCGGGCAAAGCAAGTCCCTTCGTGTCAACCTGTGCAAGCCAGTGCCCGGGGACCACCCGCCCGGTGCTCCCCCGTGCGGCGGCGACGCTGACCTCGCTCCTACCTAAGAGACCCTCAGCGGCTCCCCACTGCCTTCAGGAGGAAGTGGCCCCGGGCCCAGCCTGGCTGCTCTCCGGCCGCGTCCCCACCCAGGGCGCACGCGCTCGCGGACCGCCGCAGGGGACCGCCCGGCCCAGGGAAAGCCAACGGCGGCCCCGGGGGCCTGTGTGTCCCCTGGCCGTCCGAGGCTCGGGGCGCAGCCGCCGGCACCCTCCGCGCACTTCCGTCCCCGAGAGGACCCGCCCCCTGCGGAGCCGCTTCCGTCGCGGAGAGGACCCGCCCCCTGCGGAGCCGCTTCCGTCCCCGAGAGGACCCGCCCCCTGCGGAGCCGCTCCCCCGCGCAGCGCCCGCGCCGCAGCCCCAGCCGGTCCACGACAGGCCGCTGCCGTCGGCTCCCGCAGCTACGCGGCCGTGCCGGCTGCGCGGTCTCACGTGCGCGGGGCGGCTCGGACTGGCGGCTCTGCGCGGCCGGTCTCCGCCAGCCACCTGTCGACCAAGCCCGGCGGGACCGCACCATTCGCGCCGCCCAATTCCACCTGAGCCCGGAAGGAGCTGCCCGGCGGCCGCATGGCGGTACTCAGTTACCTAGCAACCGGGCGGCATCCTTCCCAGCAAGCACTGGTTCAACCGGCGGCGCCAGGACTACAAGGCCCGGCGTGCCTCGCGTGGACTACAAGGCCCATAATGCACCGCACACCCCTTCCTCGCCGCCCTCCTCCCAGTTCTCCTGAGACCCCGCCGGGCGAGCGCACGACCCCTTCCCGACGCTCCCCGCGCCGTGCGCGGCGCGTCCTTGCGCCAGTGACCTGGTGTGCGTGGGGTCAAGGCGCCGGGCAGAGCGGCTCCGGCCAAAGCGCCATGAGGAGGGGCGAGCGTAGGGCCGCCGAGGGGCCTCGGCCGGGGTCCCCGGTGCCCTCGGGCAAGGCCTCGCTGGAGGAGCCGCCCGACGGCCAAGCGCCGGGGCCGGGCGCGGGCCGCCGCAGCACCGAGTCCGAGGTCTACGACGACGGCACCAACACCTTCTTCTGGTGAGGGTCTGCGGCGCCCACGGCCTGGGGAGCCCGGCCTGGGTCTCCCGCGGGTCCCGCCCCGGCTCCCGGCCGAGGGCTGGGCCGGGCTGCGAGGGGCGTGGCGAACCCCGCCTCCGAGGCTCCGGGGGTGGCTGGGCACAGCTCCCGTAGCGGGGGCGGCGGAGGGTGGAGCGAGGCGCCGGCTGGCGGGAGAGGCCCTGGGGCGGACTCCTCCCGGGGTCGGCCTCGCCCCCTGCCTGCCCCGCCTCCGAGCGGCGCCCACTGCGCGGTCTTCTGATCCCAAGGATTTGGCTCCGGTCACCTCGGAAGCGCGGTGACCAGGCTTTCCCTGGCGTCCCTGTGCGAAGTTCCCCTGTGCCCTCCGCCGTGTTCCCTAGGTTGCTTCACAGTGCTCGTGGACTCGAAACCGTCTTGCTTATTGTACCCCTGCCCCCCACGTAGCAATCACACTGGCTAGCTTGAGCGTCTCACTGCTTCGGAGTTCAGTCAGCGTTTGTCGAATAAAAGCTCTGTTTCTCACGTCAGTTGCCCCTAGCCAGCATTTCCTGCACAGCTCAGTCCTGTCCCCCAACTCTGCCTTCAGTGGGGACGGATGGCAGAGGCCCCAGGAGCAGCTGGGAGCGTGGCGCCCTGAGTTGGAGTCAGGGTTGGGGAGGCCTGGGGTTCCGAGCCCGGCTCCTCTTCTTGACAACAGCTGACCTTGGGCTGGCCCCTTGTCTTTCCTCGTTTGTGAGAAAAATAAAGCCCAGGTTCCAGAAAGCATGGTTCGTGAGAAGAATGGTTTTGGCTTTTCTTTCCTGTAGGGTGTTCACTTCTCGTCCAGATGAACTACAGCCTTTAAGTCCTGCGGTAGGCCCTAGGGGACAGTGGAGTGTATGGGGCCTCTGCCCCAGGAGAGAGTGGGGATGCAGGGTGTACAGCCAGCTGTGGGAGGCAGTTCTGTGGAAGCAGTTCCAAAAGAACCAGGCTCTGGGCCATCAGAGAGCAGGTTGGGTGGGGGTGAGGAGAGCCTAATGGGAGTGATGGGTGTGTCTGAGGAAGGTCCTTCCACGCAGGTAGAGACCTCATAGAGGCCCTGTCATATCCTGGTCTGTATCACTGGCTTACAAGGGGGAGTGGCAGCGAAAGCTCAGGAGAGGAGGTGACCCAACATCTGGACCCTATGCCAGAGTCATCCCTGGGGGTGTAGGCAGCTGCCACAGGAGGAGGAGGAGGGGCAGCTGAGCCCTCCTTGGGGAGACAATACACTCTGGTGGTTGTGGAGTTATTGAGAAGGAGAGAGGGTTGGGCCGCCCTGCTCCAGTAGAGGCACGGCCGCAGAGCTGGCGCCACAAGACTTCCCACCCTCGGGGGTCTGCTCTCTGCTAGGTGTCCTGCCACGCACCCTTCCGAGAGGAGGAAGGGCGCCGTCCTCCCTCCACACAGTTGATGTCCTCTGGAGTCTCTGAGGTCCTGGAGCAAGGTGGCTGGACTGGATTGTTCCTTATTCGGTCATTCAGCACATTTGGGGGATCCTCTACTGGGTGTCAGTTACCGTTCTGGAGGGATACAACAGAAAACGACGCAAGAAGCTTAGATTCTGGTAGTCCCAAAACTTCAGAAGGCGCAATATGTGCCGGCTGCAGGGATGCTGAGTGTGGCAGAACCGGCAGAAGCACTCACAGCTCACTCAGCGCCAGGGAAGCTGCTCAAGGAAAAATACATTTCTTTAAAAGCTCAGACCAGTGGCCCTCAGGTTCCTGCACACAAGGCATGTTTGGAACACAGACGCCTGGCTATAGCACGGCCTACCTGTGAGGAGGCTGAGGGGGTGCGACTGGGCTGGCTGGTTTCAGGCACCCCTGGGTGGTGGCTCTGGCTTCCCCCCAAAACCTGTGCAAAGGAACATGGGGCAGCCTCTGGCTGTGTCTACTCCCTGACCTGTGCTGGGGAAGGAGCTTCACGTTCCCTCGTGGCAGGCAGGTAATCAGATGCCTGCCTGGTGAGAAGTACCTGTGCTGCCCCGCAGAACCTTGCTGCTGACCTCCTGTGCTTCTCCTCACTTGCTGTGTTAGGGTTTTAAAAACTCTTATTTTGTGTTTTAGAGAATTTTAATAATGAATTTGCAAAAAGTCATAGGTAAAGATTAACCTAAAACGCATATATTTGTGGAAATGACTTTAGCTTCCAAAATTACCAAAAGGAAATTTTGTATGATGTAAAACATTGTTTTTAGGGTTTTCATTTCTAAAGCTGGACGGATTTCTTTGGGGCCAGTCATGGCTCTGGAGTGTGGATTTTGTTTCTTTGTGATTGCTTTTTGGCCACAGGGCTAGCAGCTCGGGTTCAGAGTTTGCCTGAGCCTTGGAGCAGCAGCTGTGCTCTCCTGCTCTGGGTCCGAAGTAGTAAGGACATTGTCTCTTCTGCCAGCTGTGGGGAACACTAAGGGGAGATGTTTGGGACTGCAGATTCTGAGAAACACTGTGCAAAGATACATCAGCTAATGTCTAAAAATCGGGAGAACAACCTGGGACCCATTACCCTGGAGCGGTACCTGAGAACATTGCCCACCTGTCGGTGGAAGATGGTGACACACCCTCAGGTTACCGCACTTGCTAACCACCACCTCCCACCTCCACCAGGGAAGAGGTGGTCTGACGTTTTGAGGGTTTTATTGTATGCTTAGATGTTAGAACACTGCGCCTCTAGTGAGTCTTCCTAGTGACTCCGTGGACTTTGCTGTCATCCGCATGTCTTAGAGTAGTTCTTTAACCTCTTTAAGCCTGGAGACTATGTAGGTGATCTTAGATGCCTCAAGTTTCTGAGGATCCATTCTTGGTATTTGTGGGTGTGCACACATCTAGGAAGCATGACTGACTAGATGCAGTCATCTGGGTCATGCTGGCAGCAGGCTAGGAGGGCCAGTGTCACAGCCTCTTACAGGCTTGGACAGGCCCTCTGGTCTTGGCCTTTCCTTCGGCCTTCCTCAGCGATGTGTTTGTCTTTTCCTCTAACTGATCTTGGCATGCCTGCCTTCCTACCCACTCGGCCTGAGTGTGGCCATCTCTAGAGAGGGACTGAGAGCGGAGTGTCCTCCACCCGTGGTGGCAGGGAGCCAGCTGTCCTCAGGCCCTCATCCTTTTGTTTTCTTAGACAGAGTTTCACTCTGTTGCCCAGGCTAGGGTGAGTGCCGTGGCGTCAGCCTAGCTCACAGCAACCTCAAACTCCTGGGCTCAAGCGATCCTGCTGCCTCAAGCCTCCAAAGTAGCTGGGAATACAGGCATGTGCCACCATGCCTGGCTAATTTTTTCTATATATATTAGTTGGCCAATTAATTTCTTTCTATTTATAGTAGAGACGGGGTCTCGCTCTTGCTCAGGCTGGTTTCGAACTCCTGACCTCGAGCAATCTGCCCGCCTCGGCCTCCCAGAGTGCTAGGATTACAGGCGTGAGCCACCGCGCCCGGCCAGGCCCTCATCCTTGTTGAGTGTCTGAAGTCCTGGGGTTTACCGAAGCTCTTGTCCAGGGCCCGATCGCAGGACCCAAGCCTTCCCAGGCATCTGCCCAGGCTCAGGGCGGTGGAGGAAGGGGCCACTGCACACAGCTCTGGCCTCCTGGCAGGCACAAGAACGAATGCCTTTGGAGTCTTTTTTTGTGCTGTCTTGAGTGGCACCCTGTCACTGCCATGTACGTGTGGACATGGTGCTGTGTGTAAGACCAGGACTGTGACTTAAGATAGATCTTACTTTCCAGGAGTGTGTGATTTGGCAATTCTGACATCTGTCCTGCAGGTTAACAGCTGTGCCTGTGTTCCTTGCTCTGGGCCCTTAGCCCCCAACCTGCCTTTCTGCCTTGGACAGGACAGAGCTGGATCCTCTTCATTCCTGATTCTACTTCCCCAGGGCTGGGGGAGGCAGGGGTGCTGCTGTTCTTTTGAACTGCTGGGGACAGAGCCTGGGCCCAGAGAGTGCTGGTGCCTACTACTGCTCTGTCCTTGTCGGGTCTCCAGGTGGCGCCACCCAGTGTGGGGTGGGGCATCCTGCTCTGTAGTCCCGGAGCCTGGCTCTGCTGCGTCCTGACCTTGTAACACAAATGGTGGTTTTAAATTCCCATACACTAAAACTGACTTTATAGGGACATACATGTCTGTGAACCTTAACACGTGTTAGATGCTGTAGCCTCTGTTATAGGTGGGTCTGTAGCTGATCTAGCCCGACTCCCTCATGCTGCCTCTTGGTGGTGTCCTCCCCTCACCCTGCTCTGCCAGCAGCCTCTGCCCTCCCCGTGGTGAGAGCGCCACCAGGTAAAAGGACCCACACAGCGTGCGTGTTGCGCGTTCTGGAGGCGTGTGGTCATGGTGGTGGTGGTGTATTGTTTTTATAGCTGAGCAGTATTCTTTGTGCTACAGTCTGCCTTTTAGTTGGTATGTTTAGATCCTTTGCGTTTAATTATTGATACATTTGAATTTAGATCTACCTCTTCTTTCTCTTCTCTGTGCCCTCTTTTCTGCTGCTCTTTTCCTCTTTCCTGCCTTCTTTTGGGTCATGTAAATCTTTTTCGTATTCTACTTCAATCGAGGTATTGTCTCATCGGTTATGTCTCTTCGTGGGGCTCTGAGTGGTTGATGCAGGGGGCAGAGGGGATGTGCCGGCCTTCCCCAGCTGTGGTGGTCCCACAGGCGGTGTTGTGGCTGTTGGTTTTGAGAATCACCCACTCTACTCACCCTTCCCGGTGCCTTGGAACCGTCCTCTGCCAGCAGGCCTGCTGGCAGCATTTCTCTTGCGACTCCATCCCTGGAGAATGTTCCCTTCACTTTCATTCTTGAATTTGGAATATGGGTTAGCATTTCTTTTCTTCCAGTGCTCTACAAGCTTCATTCCATGTCCTGTGGCCTCTGTGGTTTCTGATTTGGTGTCTGTCGATTTCAGGTTTGCACCTGGACTGCTCTTGAAGTCCTGTGTAAAGAAGCCAGTGAGGGACATGGGAGCAGTGGGGGCGTCAGAGGAGGGAGGTTAGGGGTCAGTTCTAACAGAATCTCATTTCTGACCTCATTCTTTTTTCCTCTGAAGATGCTCCCCAGAGTTGGCAGGGTCTGCGCGTACACGGCCTTGCATTTTTGGGTGCTCTGCCTGTCGGGTGGGAGGAGCCTGCCCTCGTGTACTTGGGACCATCTAGCCCCCCATTTTACAAACAAGGAGAGTTGGGAGGGTGCTCGGGTCCCGCCTATTGCCGGGCAGGTGTGTCTGGACAGGCCTGAGTGGACACTGCTGGCGTTGAGCAGTTCTGCTTGGTCACGTCGGATCCTCATGTTTCACGTCCTGCCCAGTCAGCTGAAGTGTTGGCTGTACCTTCCGGACAGATCTGAAGTCCCCCCACCTCCTTCCTGCTTGTGGCTCACCTGGTCACCAGCTCCTGCTGTGGTTCCCATCCCTGCGCATCCTCACTGCAGCTGCCAGGTGGCCTCTCGGAGGCCTTGGCGTTGTAGCCGCTGTGCTCACCGCTCTGCAGTGGCTCTCGCTCAGCCACGGCCCAGGTTGCGTCCTCAAGTGGGGGTGGGAGGGACCCCCTTCCTCCATCCACACTGGCCTGGCCGCTTGTGCCTCGAGCCCTTTGCTCTGTGTTTCTGGTCTGGAAGTGTATTCCCAGGGGTCCCCAAAGTCCCCTGCCTCTGGTCTGCCTGAGTGTCCCTGAGAGAGGCCCTCCCTGACCACCCCCACCCTGCACTCCCGCCTTCTCGTATTTTCTGCGTAGCACGTAGGGTTTCTATTTAACCCTCCTGTGTTGGTCTTGCCCCACTGGAAGGAAAGAAGGCTCAGGAAGGTTGTAGGTTCTGTTGGGTGTGCGGCAGGTGGCGGGTGCTCAGGGGGTGCTGTGTGTGGATGAGTGGTCCCGCCACCTAGTCTGTGTCCCGAAGGGCTCCTGCCCAGGCCCTCCCCAACTTGCTCTGAGACCTTCACCAGCCCCGACCTGCCTTGTGGGCGCCAAAGCCACACTGGCGCTCAGCACCGCTCAGCAGGAGCCGCTGTGCTCATTGTTGCTACTGACTTCTAGTCTGAACACTCCTGGCTCTGCTCATCCCCACTGGGGTTGTCTCGGTCACCTCACTTAATCTGATGTCCCCACGGAGAGGGAAGGGTGGGCCCGTGTTCCCTCATGCCAGCTTGTTTTATTGGCATAAAACAACTAAATAAATGAAGACATTTCATTAGCTCCATTGTATTGTAGAAACTTAAAAAAGAAAATGGGAAAAATATTCCATGTCTCGTAATTGAGAACCTTCAGTATTAGTCACATGTCAGTTCTCTCACTAATTTATAAATTCAGTTCAATTCAATTCCAGTCAAAATCCTAATGGAATTATTTGTGGCAATTCGCCAAACTGATGCTAAGATCAATGTTGGTGAGTAAACGTGAAGAATAATCGGGGTTGGAAACACAAGGGGCAGTGTGCCAGCCGCCATGGGTGCACTGGCCATGGTCCCGTGCGGAGCGCCTGCCTGATGTCCCACAGCTCCTGCCTTGCTCTTGGGGATGCCGTCTGGTTGAGGTGTGGCAGTGCTCAGTAGCAGCACCCACTCACGGTGACTCTGGTGCGTGATGGCCTTGCTGTACACAGGACCACCACGCCCATGTGGCACGCGGAAGGTCCTGCTCCCAGCCTGATCTGCTTTGTTTGGGGTTGGCCCAAATTCCTGGGCAAAAGCGCTGCTCCTGGCTCAGCCTCCAGGTGGCGTGTTTTTGAGCTCTGTCCACCTCGTAGCCTTTATCAGTGGCTCCTTCCTCTCTTTGCTGAGTGATGTTCTGTGATAGGGGTGGACCACGGCTTCTCGTCCACTGGGATTTTTGGTTTGTTTCCAGTTTTAAGTTATTATAAATAAATATTCACGTATGAGTCTTTGTTTTTTGTTTTTTTGTTTTTGAGACAGCATCTCACTCTGTTGCCCTGACTAGAGTACCGTGGTGTCAGCCTAGCTCACAGCAACCTCAGATTTCTGGGCTCAAGCACTCCTCCTCCCTCAGCCTCCCGAGTAGCTGGGACTACAGACAGGCATGTGCCACCGTGCCCAGCTAACTTTTTATTTTTTTGAGACAGAGTCTCACTCTGTTGCCCAAGCTAGAGTGCCATGGTGTCAGCCTAGCTCTCACAGCAACCTCAGACTCCTAGGCTCAAGCAATCCTCCTGCCTCAGCCTCCCAAGTAGCTGGGACTACAGGCATGCACCACCATGCCCGGCTAGTTTTTTCTATATATTTTTAGTTGGCCATTAATTTCTTTCTATTTTTTAGTAGAGCCGGGGTCTCGCTCTTGCTCAGGCTGGTTTCAAACTCTGACCTTGGGCGATTCTCCCACCTTGGCCTCCCAGAGTGCTAGGATCATAGGCGTGAGCCACCGCGCCCGGCCCCAGCTAACTTTTTCTATATATTTTTAGCTGTCCAAGTAATTTTCTTTCTATTTTTAGTAGAGACAGGGTCTCACTCTTGCTCAGGCTGGTCTCGAACTCCTGAGCTCAAATGATCCACCCGCCTCGGCCTCCCAGAGTGCTAGGATTACAGGTGTGAGCCACTGTGCCTGGCCCACGTATGAGTCTTTGAATGGACCTGTGTTTTCATTTATCTTGAGTAAATATTTTGGAGTAAAGGACCAGATTGGATGATAGATGCATGTTTAACTTTTTAAGAAATTGCCTAACTGGTTTTCAGAGTGGCTGCGTCATTCGGCACCCACCTGTGGCAGACAAGGCTTGTGCAGCCGTGCCCTCAGCACGTGGCGTCGTGAGTGCTTTGATCTCAGCTGCTCAGCGGACGTGTGCTGGTGTTCAGTGTGGTTTTGATTTGCTTTCACGGCGACAAGTGAGGCTGCATGTCTCTTTATGTGCCTATTGGCCGTTTGTATATCTTCTTTGTGAAGTGTTTGTTCCGTTTTTTGCCTTTTTTGATTAGATTGTGTGTCTTCGTTGAGTTGTAAGAGTTCTTCATATATTCCAGATACAAAGTCTTTGTCAGATATGTGTTTTGTGAATATTTTCTCCCAGTTTGTGGTTTGCTTTTTCTCTTCTTTAGGGTATAGCTGTTGTTTGTAACAATCCGTGTGTCATGGAGGCAAGTCCTGGGCTGCATGCCGTATGTGTGTTGCTCACTAGTCCCCGTGGTGTCCCTGGAGGGCAGGATTCCCCCCTCTAGAGATAGGGAAACCACAGTGCAGAGCGTCACGTTGTTTCTCCAAGTTCACATTACTCGTTTGGATGTGAGAACTGGGTCTCTGACTGTTTGCAGGCGGTTAAAATGCAGAGGGAGTCTCAGGTGGATCCAACACAAGCCGTGGTCAAGGTCTGCTGGCTTGTGGCTCTGGTCCCTGGCTGGCTGTGGGCTGTCCAGGTGAGGAGTCTCCACTGGGGGTGGGATAGGCTGAGGCTTCCAGAGGTGGAGCCCCTGCCCCTTCCTCCCCTAGCCAGGCCCTTGTGAGTGAGTAGCACTGTCAGGGGTCGTGTCCTTCTCCGTCCAGGTCCTGGTGTCCTCTCAGCTCTTCGTTTCTTGGGCCATCATCCTTGTGAACCCTCAGCTGCGGTGGTTTCATGAACCCAAAGGATGGTCACCTCAGCACATCTTGCTCAGTGAAAAGTGCCATGTTTACTTATTGTCTGGTTGCTCCTAACAACAGACGCCTGGTCTGGTTGCCTGCAGCTCCCTGGGAGCAGACACAGGATCGTCTAGGAGCACCCAGCTAGGGACTGCCAGCCACGTGCTTTCTGGGGGTTGGAGAGTGAAGTTTACGCTCTCTCCTTTGTGTAGAGTGATTTGGTGTCACGTTACATGAGTGTTTAACAGTGTTGTCCGTGCCCTGACGTGACTGTGTTTTCGATTTCAGGCGAGCCCACACTTTGACTGTGCTGTTCATCCTTACCTGTGCGCTTGGCTACGTGACTCTCCTGGAAGAAACACCTCAAGACACAGCCTACAACACTAAGAGGTAACAGGCCCACGTGGTCCTGTTCTCTGAACTGGGTGCGCGGACACCCGCTGTGGTTGGTCTGGTGTCCTTGCTGCCCTCAGGCCGGCCAGGGGCTCAGGAGGCTTTCCCTGGCGTCCTCAGGAGGGCGGGCTGGGGCTCCTGGCCTCCCTCTCCAGTGGGTCCGACGCACCAGAGTCCTAGGGCTCCCCTTTGGCGCCACATGGCATTTCTTGCCTGTAGACTGGTCAGCCGCTGTCCTGCCTATCACGGGGTCCCTGGAGTCCATGTCACCTCCCACGTGACCTGCAGCTTGTGCTGCGTTTCCTCTGCATTTCACATGTTGAGAGACTGGGATGTGCCTAGGCAGCCTCTAGTGGTGGAGCTGTTGTTTTGGGGTGTCTTGAAGTGTCAGGGTTTGCAGGGGTCAGTGATGGTTCCCTGAATTAGCTGGCATGGTTCTTCTATGCTGGTGCATTCTATGTTTTGCTTTTTGCTTTTTAGAGACAGGGTCTCACTCTTTTGCCCAGGCTGGAGTGCCGTGGCATCAGCCTAGCGCACAGCAACCTCAACCCCCTGGGCTCAGATGATCCTACTGTCTCAGCCTCCTGAGTAGTTGGGACTACTGGTACTTGCCAGCAGGTGCAGCTAATTTTTTACTTTAATTTTTTGTAGAGCTGGGGTCTTGCTGTGTTGCTCAGGCTGGTCTTGAATTGCTAGCCTCAGTCTCCCAAAGTCCTGGGATTACAGGCGTGAACCACCATGCCTACCCTGCACTGGTATTGATGCTAATGCTTTTTAAAACTTTAAACTACTTCAAGATGTCAGGCAATTGTCCATGGACAGCCTGTGATCTCCCTTCTACAGGTCAGGAAGTGAGTCACTCCAAAGGCAGGCTGGTCACTAGGTTTGTCCTTTGTCTGAATTCCGTGGATTCTGAGGCCTGTGTGTGGAAGATAGGCTGGTTATAGAGCTTGTTCATTGATCTTGAGTTTTCACTTGACAAACTCACCTCTCCCGTTCTTTCCCAATCCTGGCACCTGGGTGTCAGGTCAGGGCTACATCCTGCCCAGCAAGGCCGGCTGCCACCGTCAGGGCTCAGGCCCCGCTTGCTCTGGTGGCACGGCCAGGGGAAGCCAGGGAGAGACTGGAGACCAGCACCAGGCGGGGTCAGAGGTGGAGGGAGGCCCGGAGGCCTGTCGGTGGCGGGGCTGTCAGGTGGCTCTGGCTGGTGGGGCCTGGGCCTTATAGAGCCTCCCTTTTACAACAGCTCTGGGCCAGCACTTGACATTTTGTAAAATGAGGGTCCTAATGTCTGTGTGATAATTAGACCGGGTCAGGGGAGTGTGGTGTTAGGGTCACCGTAATGATGCCAGGCGGCTCGCCATCAGCGCCGTTGGCCCATGTCTGTGTGGGACGGTTTAGATGGTGTAGAGACCCCTCCTGACAGAGCTCGTCCCCTTGGGTGCAGCCGGGCATTTCTGGTTAGAAATCACCATGGGGTGCCAGGACCCAGGGCTCTGCAGCCCACTTCGCCCAGGAGCTCACACTCTTCTCCCCTGGAAGGTGCAGGGGGCCCCTCCCTTCCTGGGTCCCGCCCTTTCCCCAGCTTTGTGCTCTGTGGGTTTTGCTCCCACCTCAGCGACATCGGTCTCCCGGTCGGCTTTTCTGGGTCTTCCCTCCATTCTGACCTTAGGTGCTGGCTGGCTCCCAGCCAGGCCAGTGCCTCTGCTGCTGCGCTCACCCATGCGGCCTGGCCAGCTCCTCCTTCCTTTCTCGGCCAGCTGTGCCTGTCGCATGTGGTGCAGCACCTGTGCGCTTGGGCAGCTGGAGTCCAGAGTAGGTGAGGGAGCCTGTGCTGCATCATGGCCCCTGCCAGGCCATCTGGGTCTGCCCTCGGGGCACTGTCCCTGTGCAGGGGCCACCTGGACGCTGCACCTGTGCGTGTGGAGACGGCGAGGCTCTAGCAGGGCCCCGTGTTTGCATAGAAGGAGTTTCCAAATAGGACTCGGTCTTTCCCAAGATTCATCTGTCAGCACCTGGGTGTGCCGGGTCTGCAGCATCTCCGGGGCACAGTGGGCCAGGGAGTACCAAGGAGCAGGACGTGGTCACACCTCAAGAGGTGTCCCCATAAGGCAAGTAAAATTAGGCCAGCAGTGAGCAGTCCCGATGTCACTGGGCAAGAGTTGTGGCAAGGAATAACCTGTCTCCCAAGACCCCTGGAGGAACAGAACCTCCCCAAGGGCAACCTAGACCCAGAGGGGCCAAGAACTAGACCCTTGAGTGTAAGGGGACCCGAGTGGGCATGCCCCCCTCATCTAGCCCATCCTGTCCTGAGCTGCCCCGGCGTGAGAGGCTGGGTCCTGCCACACCCTCCTGCAGGAATCCCCGGTGTGTGCGTTGAGTGGAGGGACCAGGGCTCCGGGGCACTCTGTGCTCCGAGGGTCTGTGTTGTGGGGACACTGTACACTGTCCTGGCTCACACTCTCCAGACCACACTCCTCACCCACTGCCTCTGCCCGGGAGCCCAGCGGCACAGCTGGCACTCTGGCTGCCCAGGCCTCTCAGGCCTTGGGGAGGCTGCCGGGCCAGTTTATGTTAGTATGTGAGAGTTATTTCATGCCCTTGAGCGTAGGTTTTATATATAGAAAAGACCTCCTAAAGGTTACCTTTATTTTAAAAAATTAATATTTACATTATTAAAGTTAAAAATGTAGAAAACTAGTTTGTTTTCTGTAAGCTTCCAATTTCAGCTTGTGCATCTTTGTTCTTTTTATGCATCTAACAGTTTCTGTCACTTTAGGGGGTTGGTTTTGTTTTGTGTCTTAAGTCAATCTTATTTTTTTTTTTTGAGACAGAGTCTCGCTCTATTGCCCAGGCTAGAGTTCTGTGGCATCATCATAGCTCACAGCAACCTCAGACTTCTGGACTCAAGCAATCCTCCTGCCTCAGCCTCCCTCAGCTAGGACTATAGATGCGAACCACCAAGCCCAGCTAATTTTCTATTTTTAGTAGAGACGGGGTCTTGCTCTTGCTCAGGCTGATCTAGAACTCCTGAGCTCAAGTAATCCTCCCACCTTGGCTTCCTCGAGTACTGGGATTACAGGTGTGAGCCACTGCACGGCCAAGTCAACCATATTGACATATAATTTGACAGTATATATAACTAATCAAAGCATCCAGCTCGATGAGTTTTGACAGATATTTAATACATACACCTGTGTGCCCATTGCTGAGTGGAGGTAGTAAATATCCATTGCCCAAGTTCCTCTGAGCGGCCAGACAGCCACACCCCGGCACTCGGCAGCCGCTGGTCTGTCAGCACAGACGTGCTTTGCCTGTTGTGGGTTCACATAAAGGGCCTTGCTCAACACATACTCCTTGGCGTCTGGCTTCTCCCACCCAAAATAATGGCACGTGGCATCCATATTGTGTCTGTTGGAAGTTTATCACTCTCGTTGCTGGGGAGAATCCGCTGTGCAGATGAGCCACAGTTCACTCATCCGCCATCCGCAGGGGACCTTGGGGAGAGTCCAGTTTTTCTTACCAACACGTTTACAGGGTCTTCAATAAATTTTTTATTGCATTTACAAATTTAGTGAATAAAACTTCACACATTTTAGTCATATAAAATACATATAAATATGTAAATATATATGAATTTGAAATATAAATGTACTTTATTTTTATTTTTTTTTGAGACAGAGTCTGGCTCTGTTGCCCTGGCTAGAGTGCCATGTCGTCGGCCTAGCTCACAGCAACCTCCAACTCCTGAGCTCAAGCAATCCTCCTGCCTCAGCCTCCTGAGTAGCTGGGACTACAGGCATGCACCACCATGCCCGGCTAATTTTTTCTATATATATTAGTTGGCCAATTAATTTATTTCTATTTATAGTAGAGACGGGGTCTCGCTCTTGCTCAGGCTGGTTTCGAACTCCCGACCTTGAGCCATCCACCCACCTCGGCCTCCCAGAGTGCTGGGATCACAGGCGTGAGCCATCGCGCCCGGCCTATAAATGTACTTTATATATGTAATACATATAAAATACAGTACATATGAACATATTCACAGTGCCAAAGAAGAACACAGTTGGAGCGCTGACACTGCCCTATTCCAGGACTTACTGCGAAGCTACAGTAACCGAGACAGCGCAGTGTTGGCAACAGCAGGCGCAGAGGTCATTGGGCCAGAGAGCGAGCCCAGGAACAGCCACATGGTACAGTCAGCTGGTCTCGACAGGAGCGCAGGCAGCACAGTGAAGAAAGGGCAGTCTTTCCACAAACGGTGCCGGAGCCACAGGATACCCACATGCAAAAGTGAATCTAGATGTTACGCTTTTCACAAACATTAACTCAAAATGGCTTATAGGTAGGCCTAAATTAAAATGCAAAACTGTAAAACTTCTTGCAGAAAATACGGGAGAAAATCTAGTGCCTCAAGTTTGGCAGTGACTTTTTAGATAGAATACTAATAGTACGACTCATGAAAGAAAAATCTTGATAGGCTGAACTTCACTAAAATCGAAAGCTTTTGCTTCATAAAAGACACTGTTAGGCCGGGCATGGTAGTTCACGCCTGTAATCCTAGCACTCTGGGAGGCCGAGGTAGGAGGATCGCTCAAGGTCAGGAGTTCTAAACCAGGCTGAAGGCCGGGCGCTGTGGCACACGCCTATAGTCCCAGCTACACAGGAGGCTGAGGCAGGAGGATTGCTTGAGCCTGGGAGTTTGAGGTTGCTGTGAGCTAGGCTGATGCCATGGCACTTTAGCTAGGGCAACAGAGTGAGACTCTGTCTCAAAAAAAAATACTGTTAAGAGAATGAGAAGAGGAGCCATGGGTTGGTTGAAAATATTTGCAAAACACGTATCTGATAAAGGACTCTCATCCAAAATATGCAAAGAACTCTTAAAGCTCGATAATAAGAAAAGAAACAACACGATTAAAAAACAGGTGAAAGATCTCATGGGCACTCACCAGAGAAAGTACACAGATGACAGTCAGCACTGGGGAAGGTACTCATCACTGTCTGTCTTCAGGGAGTCAAAAATCAAAAACTGAGAGATAGCACAGCACACCCATCACCATGGCTAAAATTTAAAATACTGATAGCACCAAATGCTGACAAGGACTCAAAACACCACCCACTCTCATCGTTATCGGTGGGAATGCAAAATGGTGCGGCCACTTCGGAAGACAGTTTGGCTGTCTCTCAGAGAACTAAACAGACTGTTACCTTATGATCCCACAGTATTGATCCAATTGAATTGAAAGCTTATGTTCGCACAAAAGCCTGCACACGAACGTTTATAGCAGCTTTATTCATAGTCACCAGAAATTGGAAATAACCAAGATGTCCTTCAGCCAGAGAGTGGATACGTAAACTGTGGCACATATGGAATGTTGTTCAGCAATAAAAAGAAATGAGCTTTGAAGCCACAAAGACAGAGATGAATCTCAAGAAGCATTATTACTGAGTGGAAGAAGCCAGTTGGAAAGGCTGTGTACTGCACGATGCCAACTGAATAACACTGGGAAACTCTTTGGGAAGGTGAAATTATGTGACGGTAGAAAGATGAGTGGTCTCCAGGGGAGGGCCAGAATGAACAGCAGAACACGGCACTTCTTTGGCAGTGGGACTGCACGGTGTGCCACCTTGAAGGTGGGTGCCTAACACTGCATCGTCCAAACCCACAGCACTCGACAGCTGCAGAATAAACCTTAATGCATGCAGATTTAAAACGCTAACTTAGGAGGTCGGGGGTCCCAGGAAGGAAGGCAGACTGTGACAAGACACGTCTCACCTTCCAGAGGCATGCAGCGGCCTTCCTACAGGGGCAGTGGACAAGGTCCTGTGTCACTTGGGAGCCGAGTGGCGTCTGTGAGTCTAAAGGCAGACAGGGCTGCATAGAGCACTTTGCTCTAACTGATATAGTTATGTCCCAGGAGGTAACGGGTGGCAGTTCTGTTAACTGCTGTATATGTCATTGTGTGGGGATGGTGGCAGCCAGGTGTTTGCTGTCGGAGTGGGAATTCACAGGTAATCAATGGGATGCCCCTAGGAGGATCCATGTGGTAATAGATCATAGTTAGAGATGTCAGTCAGAATTCGTGTTTAGCTTAGTAAAGATACAAATAGTTAAAAAGATAAATATAATGTGCATATATGTTAGTGTATACACAGATACATTATTGTTCTGTGAGCTGAGAGGACCCAGAGCCCAGTACACCCCAGGAGCACCTAGTACACCAGTGCCCACCTCTCGGGTTCTGACGCTCTCCAGTGAAAGGACCCAGGGCTCTTTGGAGAACTCGCTGATTCCAGGGCTGGGGCACGGAGTGCCCAGGACGAGCCTGGTGCACCTGTCGTGCCAGAAGGCAAAGAACTGCTCAGGAAGACACAACAAAACCCCACAGTGACAGGACTGTGTCAAAGCAACACAGGAGCCAAGTGAAGGCTCTCAGTGGCCAAAGCTGGAACAGTTTCAGCAACAAAATCAGTACAGTGGTATTGAAATATAGCCCGGAGCATGAAAAATATGATGTGAGTGATGAATAAATAAGGAAGGAAATCAAATCTCCCTGCAGAAGCTTTCCAAGTAATGATGCAACTACTCCACTCTGCAGGAGGCAGAGCACAACCTTCTACCCTCACCTGGGGCTGCTCACAGGGACTCCTTCCAGAGCACACGGTGTGGGGAGGGGGGCGGTGGCAGAGTGAGGGGCCTGACCGGCACCCAGCCAGGTGCGGTGTGGGAAGGGGCGGTGGCAGAGTGAGGGGCCTGACCGGCACCCAGCCAGGTGCAGTGTGGGAATGGGCGGTGGCAGAGTGAGGGGCCTGACTGGCACCCAGCCAGGTGCAGTGTGGGAATGGGCGGTGGCAGAGTGAGGGGCCTGACCGGCACCCAGCCAGGTGCGGTGTGGGAATGGGCGGTGGCAGAGTGAGGGGCCTGACCGGCACCCAGCCAGGTGCGGTGTGGGAACGGGGCGGTGGCAGAGTGAGGGGCCTGACCGGCACCCAGCCAGGTGTGGTGTGGGAAGGGGCGGTGGCAGAGTGAGGGGCCTGACCGGCACCCAGCCAGGTGTGGTGTGGGAAGGGGCGGTGGCAGAGTGAGGGGCCTGAGTGGCACCCAGCCAGGTGCGGTGTGGGAAGGGGCAGTGGCAGAGTGAGGGGCCTGAGTGGCACCCAGCCAGGTGCGGTGTGGGAAGGGGCGGTGGCAGAGTGAGGGGCTTGACTGGCACTCAGCCAGGTGGTCAGGGGCGGCACTGCCAGCGATGAGTGGTGCTGGTGAGCACCTGGGTGGCACTGGTGAAAACGGCGCCTTATCGCTGTGGTCTTCCTCTCAGAAATCTGTGACCTCGTTCTAATCATGAGGAAACACAGCAGACCACCTTAATCAAGGGATATTCTGCGAAATTCCTGACCAGTTCTCAAGACTGTCCAGGTCCTCAGAAACAGGAGAGTCTGGGAAACTGTCACAGCCGAGAGGAGTGTGGGGAGACAGGATGCCTCCCTGTCACAGGGAGTCCTGGACGGGATTGTGGGACAGGAAAGGACACTGGGGAAAAGCCAAGGAAATCTGAGCAAAGTGCAGACCTCAGTTAGTAGCAGTGTATCGGTACTGGCTCATTAATTGTGACAGATGCCCCGTGCTGACAGAAGGTGTGGATGATGGGAAACACAGTGCATGGTACACGTGGAAACTCTGCTGTTCTCATAGTAATTCTATAAAGCTACAGCCGTTCAAAAATTAAGCTTATTATAGAAATGTAATGCATTTGTTTTCCTTTTAAAGTAATTCCTTTACCCAAACGACATACCTTCCCAAGTACTGAAGCAATTCTTACAAACAAATGAGCCTTATGAAATCATGAGAAACACATGTGATGCATAGCCAGGTGAGCATTCTCGTGTGACCCGGTCTGAGCTGGTTCCTGGGCCTCATCACACGCAGAAGCCACAAGGCTGCCCCAGGAGCCCAGAGCCAGGCACGGCGCCAAGTAGCCAAGGCGCACTGACCCACCCAGGGCGGATGCCGCAGGTCAGCCCCCGGGCAATGCCAGCAGCGTCCTCCTTGGTCAGCAACCAGTCCTCTTTTCATTTCCTTCCTTTCTGGGGGGCAGAAGAGCATTTGCTGTCCCTCCCCTAATAGTGTACCCCTCTTCCACACACCATGGAAGAACAGCTGAGTTGGGGCCTGCATCTTGCTCCGGTGGCCCTGGAAGGTACTTTTCACATCTCCCACCCCGGAGCACCGTGAGACCTTGGGTTGGGGCACCTGTGCCAGGACCCACCGCACTGAGCCAGGCATTGAGGGTGTCTCTGCTCCTGTCCCTGGAGCTTGGTGTGAAGGCTGCTCTGGAAGTGCACATGTCCCATTGGAGGGGCCGTGAATATCCTACCAAGGGTGAGACCCTCAAGGCCTGGGCTTAGAGCAGCACACGGCCCCAAATGACTGGACTGTTGTCCCAGCAGCTGCGTGAGGGCTGGGCCCCCGCCTGTGTGCTCCTGGGGTCCTCTGAGTCTCATGCTACCCCTGGTGGGGTCTGCCTCACCTGTGTCTGCTGGTGGTTTCCAGGCCTAGGCACCTTTGGTAGGCAGAGAGGAGAGTTTTTTAGACTGAAATTTGTCGCTAGATGGATTTTAGGAGCACTGTTGGGAACTCTGTGACCCCATCTGTTCCTGAAGCTGAATGAACGTGCGTTTGTACATAGCAGCTTCACAGTAGGCACAGCCTGGATGCACACAGTGTGTAAGTACGTGGAACGTGACTGTCAACAGCAAGTCCCTCTGCAGTGGGCAGGAGCTCTGCCCACGGTGGGTGCTGTGCTCTCAGACCGAGCAGGACGGGCACATCCGTGCGCCTGCACAGTGGCGGAGCTGGGGAGCACTGGTGGCTGTGAGCAGGTGCCTGCATGTCCAGCGGGCCGTCCCGGGCAGACAGTGGGCTCTGGGCTGAGCCTGTGTGAGCAGCTGTGCTGGGGGTGCCTGCCTGCAGCTCCTCCCCGCCTCCCCGCGCAGCCTCGTGCCTCCCTGCGCAGCCTCGTGCCTCCCTGCGCACCTGTGTTTTATCCATTTACTCAGTCACGGTTACAGTGCTGCTTACACTTCATCTTCTTGTGAATTGCAGGATTCCTGTTAGTATTGGATGAGGTGACCCCAAAAGGACAAAAGAAAATACTGGGGTCCCTGCCCCGTTGGCCCAGAAAGCCTTTAGCTCCTAACATCGTTCTGTCTCATGCAGACGTTAGTGAACCCTGGTTGTCGTGTATGGAATTTTAGGTGGATTTTCTTCACATAAATAAGGCACATATCCTAGTGATTCAACACTTTATAGATAAGGAGTGTGGTGCCGCCACGGGGCGATTGGGCCCAGGTGAGATGTTGGTCCAGGGGGGTGGATTGGCCCCGGCCCAGCCCTCCCTGCTGTGCAGTCCCCAGCTCTGCCCTGAGGCCGGGGCTGTCCAACAGGGGTGTCCTGGGGTCCCTGCTGCCTCCTGCCTCCCTCCTGGGAGAAGCTTACACACACTGAGGGGCTGTTTGTTCTTTATTTGCAGAGGTATTGTGGCCAGTATTTTGGTTTTCTTATGTTTTGGAGTCACACAAGCTAAAGACGGGCCATTTTCCAGACCTCATCCAGGTAACTTGCCATTTCTTCTTCCGTGTGTGGCAGTTCTGTTCTGAGCAGTCACTCTGTGTCTGTGCTGGGTGTGAATGTCCTCCCCTCCGCCTGGCCCTGCCCAGGCTGCCCGGCCACTCCGCACAGTAGGACGGAGGGCGTGGGGCCCGAGCTGTCTGCTCTCCTTCCAGGTGAGGGTTCCTTCAGGCCCTTGGGGCCCTGGCTCCTCCCTGTCCTGGGCTCTTCCGCCCTTCTCTTCTGGCCGCACTCACCCTCTTCCTGCAGGCAGGGCCGCTGGGCTCCGCAGGGGGGCTGGGAGGCACCCCTCCCCTTGTCTCTGCCTCAGTTGCCCCCCAGTGACCCCAGTTTCCTGCCTCTAACAAATCCCAGGAGACAGAAGCACAGGTCCTCCCCGAGGGCACAGGACACTTCCCGCCAGCCGGCCCTCCTCCCGCCAGGCCTCTGTAGGGAGGGTTGGTTGGTTCCCCTGAAGGCTCACGTGTAGTAACTAGAAACATTTATTTTCTGTTTCAACAGGGGAATGTATTGTAGAACACTTGGAAAATAGAAAAAATATTTTAATTAAAAATAAAAACCACTCACAAAAAAACCCACCATTAAATTTAGATGTGTTATGTACATTATACGTCAACATAACCTTAAAAAATGAGAACAGTTACGTATGTGTGGCTTTATATCATGCATTTTTCACTTTAGGTTTAACAAGCGTTTCCTTATTCACTAATTTTTTTGTTTGATAACTGGATTTTTTAGTGGCCGCTTGTTTAGCTGTCATTTGAATGTAGTATAATTTTAGTTAACCAACTTGCTTACACTGTAATAGCTTGTATTTAGGAAGTTTCCAGTTGTACTGTAATAAACTAGGCTGTGGTATGTTTTTGTACATGTGCTCTGTGTAAATATCTGATTATTTATTTTGTAAGACATCCTAGGAGTAGAAGTATTGTGCTAAAGGGCGCAAATATTTCAGGCCTGTGATGGACATTACCAGGTCTCCTTCCAGAAAGGCAGTTGGTGTTGTGGCGTGAGGTGCTCTGCCCTGGAGGCCCCTGAGCAGCTGGTCTTGTGGCCCCTTCTGTTACAGGGTCTTGATAAAGCGCCCCTTGGGTGCCTGGTGGGACACTGGGGCTGGGGGTCTACTGAGCACATCTGGTCTGGAAGGGTTTGGACTGCTTCCCGGGGCAGGGGGAGAGCAAGGGTGTGGTTTAAACTCCAGATCACACATGAAACACCCCATGCTGCTGGTGCTCGTTGGGTTGATTTATGGGAAGAAGCACTGCCAGAAAGTCCTGGCTGGAGGCCGTGTCCCTCCCAACCTGGCCAGGCCTTGGAGTGGGGCTGGGCTCTTACTGTGTCTAAGCTTTTACTTTGAGCTCAGCTCCACCTTTCTTCTTTTCATTTAGTTTGCTTTGCATAAACTGCATGTTTATGCAATCTTTGCCAATCTTTGATTAATTGATTGATTGATTGCTTTGAAACAGAGTCTCGCTCTGTTACCTGGGCTGGAGCGCCCCTGGCTCAAGCGATCCTCCTGCCTCAGGCTCCCGAGTAGCTGGGACTACAGGCACGTGCCACCATGCCTGGCTAATTTTTTCATTTTTAGTAGAGACAGGGTCTCGCTGTTGCTCAGGCTGGTCTGGAACTGCTGACCTTAAGCGATCCTCCTACCTTGGCCTCCCAGAGTGCTAGGTTTACAGGTGTGAGCCCCCATACCTGCCCAGATTTTTTATTTATTACTGTAGGAAGCCTGGAGCCACCTTCTTCTACATGTTAACTTTATGTTTGGCAGGAGACTCTCAAACTGTCCAATCAGAATGCACTTGCAGTGGACAAGCAATGGGTCCTACGCAGCTTAGTGCTCTGCAGGGAAAGCGAGAAGGGGTTTCTGGCTCCAGAAAAACAGCCCCTGTGGGTTCTGCCTCCCTCCCTGCCTGCATCTGGGCCCAGGAATGCCCGGTCAGGCCACTGCCGGGGTAGCCAGCAGAGCAACTGTATGTTGAGAGGCAAAACGAGGTTCCAGCTGACCTCTCTGGGGAGCTGCTACATATGGAAACATGTTTGGCCATAGTTCCGAGCGAGACCATGTTCAAATAGGTCCTGGCCCACTGCAGAGGGCACCGCCCTTGCATGGTCTTTCTTCCATCTGTGGCCCCCTCCAAAAGCTGGTGTGCTCTTTGCGAGTCAGGAGAGCACCTCACTGCGGAGGCCACCTGTCTGCTCTGCCCTCGGGCACTGTGTTTGGGGTGGGGCTGCTGGAATCAGAGATGCCAGCTCAGGAGCAGCTGGAGTTGCTGCGGATGTGGGCACACGGCCTGCTGGCACTGAGGGTGGGTGAGGCGGGCCTGGGCTCTAGGGCGAGAGAGGAGTGTGAGGTGACCCACCTCCCCAATTTGGGGCCTGCCCTGCAGTGGGGCATAGGAAGGACAGAATCGGCGACAGGGACCTGAGTGGTCCTGTCAGATGTCCGTGATTTCCGGGAGCATGTGGTGCTCCGAGTGGCCAGAGGCTGGGGACCTGCGCAGGAGTCCTGTTCGTGGGCCCTTGGGGTGCAGGCTGCCCCTGAGTTTATTTCACCACAAGCCCTTTCCGATGCTGTTGTAGCTCTTGAACCAGTGAGAACCTTCCAGATAGAATCTACTTGTCCTTCAAGGCATGAAAAATAAGTTTGTAATCTCCATTTTCTATCTCATGTCCCTGAACTACTTTAGCAAATTTCCTAAGAACTTACCACGTTTGTATTTCCTGCCTGCGCGAGGTGGCTTGTCTTATACCATCAGGGCTGTCACCCCCAAGTAGATTAGGGTCAGCCCTGCCCAGGGGGCCTCCCACGGGTGCTGGGCTTGGCCCTAAAACCTTGTGTGTGCGTGCCTTGCTGTGAGCTGCTCAGAGCCATGGCGGGGGCAGGAGTATAGCGAAGGCTTAACATTAGGAGTCCGCTAACATAGCCCCTCACACTGTTAATGTCTCACAGGAAAAATCAGCCCTCTTAAATGCAGAAAAATGAAAGTTCATACTTATCCGTGAGAAAAACTTAGCATACTGGAATTAAGAGATTCTTTGTGTGTGTGACAGAATCTCACTCTGTCACGTCGGATAGAGTGCAGTGGTGTCATCACAGCTCACTGCAACCTCAATCTCCAGCCGTCCTCCTGTCCTAGCCTCCCGAGTGCACTATGGATGCACCACCACAGCCTGGCTAATTTTTCTGTTTTCAGCAGAGACAGGGTCTCGTTCTTGCTCAGGCTGGTCTTGAACTCCTGACCTCAGGTGATCCTCCTGCCTCAGCCTCCCAGAGTGCTGGGATAACAGGCCTGAGCCACTGTGCCTGGTCAAAAGGAGATCCTTTTAACATGATAAAAGGGACCCACCAAAAATCTACTGCAGATTTACCAACGATGGGAGGTTGAAAGTGGGACCAGTGAACACGAGACCAGAGTGTTTGCTGTCACTGCTCCGGCCAACAGTTTATTGGCCTTCGGTGCCACTGCAGTAAGACAAGACAAGTAATAAGGTTTAAGGACTAGAATGGAAGAAAATGGAAAAAATATTTTTTCAGAGAAAAATTGTGCTTAATTCTGGGTTTGACCTTGCTTTTTAAAGGCTCTACCAGGGACATGTGAGGAGCCCAGAACAGACACTGTGTCACGGAGTCGTGTGGGAGGTCCTGGGGGGCTCCTCTGCCAGAGCCAGCAACGCTGGGGGCCTGGAGGACCCGGGCGCGCTAACGCTGCTGTGTTCTTTGTCTCCGTAGCTTACTGGAGGTTTTGGCTCTGCGTTAGTGTGGTCTACGAACTGTTTCTCATCTTTATACTCTTCCAGGTAAGCAGTCTTTCTTGGTTGGATAAACTGTGGGAACTCAGGAGACGAGGAGGCCAGGGTGACAGGTGACAGAGGGGGTGTGGCACACCCTGCCCTCCAGAGCGCTGATAGGAAGCAGGGCCTGACCCCAGCAAAGGTGGGCTGAGGCTGCATGGGGACCTCCAGAAGCATCCGTCAGTGGGAGACTGACCGTGACCTTTCCGCAGGGTCTCAGTGGGTGGCACAGATGGCAGGAGGGGAGGCCTGGCGACGCTCACGCCTGGGGGTCTGTGCCCTTGGCATCGTGTCCACACCTGTGCAGGGACCGGGCACTGCGGAGGGGATGGCTCGCTGATTCACACCGGGCCATGCGTGCTCGCTGGGCTTTTTGGGTTTGGGTTTGTGGGTGGCCACACGTGGCTCTGTGGAGCCTCCTGGAGCACATTCCGAGAGGTGATCAGGGTGGAGGGTAGAAACTCATCTCAGTATTTCTTGGGTTAGGATGCTGCCACGGATGTCTGTTTTATTAATCCTGGTTCTGCTTAAGTAACGAGCACACATTTTGGTGGCTGCCTTTGGTGTGCAAAGGACTTTCTTCTTCATGTCCTCGAAACTCTGTCAGTGAGTGGCCAGGTTACTTATCATCATGGCAGAATTGACTTTGGGAGGGGGTGGCTGTGCACATCTACAAATTTTAGCACTTATACAGATTGTGGAAACTGCCCTGACCCCGCACCAGTGAGTGATCTGCCCGTCTCTGCAGTTTTGTGTCTGGGAGGCGTCGTGTGGACGGAGACGTCCTGTGGATGGAGGCGGGCGGTGTCCTGGGTGCTCTGCAGGCTCTCGCAGCTCCTCTGGGCTGACGGCGTTCCTTTGCACTGGACCACAGCGGCCTGTGCGCCAAATGCGGGAAGCACTTGGTTGTCAGGGCCAGGGCCGTCGTGAGCAGAGCTGGGCACTCCCGTGTGTGCTCACGGCCCCACCCTCCAGGGTGACACCCAGCAGCAGCGCCTCCGGCTCGGTGGGGGTGACTTTGAGAAGCTGCGAGCTGTCTCGCCCCGCGCTCCAGTCAGCACTTGGGGTCGTCAGGCGGCACGCGGTGGGATCTCGGGGCTCTGATCGGCGTTTCTCTGAGTCTAGTGGTGCCGGCCGCGTTTCCGTGCACTCGTTTGCCACGTGGGTGTCTCTTTATGGAAGTGTTCAAGTGTTTGCCCTTTTCAAAGATTGGGTTGTTAGTTTTTGTAGTCTTGTATTGTGATGGTTTTTCATGTCGTCCTAATATAAGGTCCTTGTTGGATGAGTGATTCATAAGTATTTTCCCCAAGTCTGTAGCTTGTCCTTCCATTGCTTAACAGTGTCATTCACGATTCTTCTATGGATTGTGACTTTGATGTCACATCTAAGATTTTTTTGGTCTAATACCAGGTTGTTAAGATTTTCTCTTGTGGGCCGGGCGTGGAGGCTCACACCTGTAATCCTAGCACTTTGAGAGGCCAAGGCGGGAGGATTGCTTGAGCTCAGGAGTTCGAGACCAGCCTGAGCAAGAGCGAGACCCCCATCTCTACTATAAATAGGAAGAAATTAGCCAAACAACTAAAAATAGAAAAAATTAGCTGAGCATGGTGGCATATGCCTGTAGTCCCGGCTACTCGGGAGGCTGAGGCAGGAGATCACTTGAGCCCAGGAGTTTGAGGTTGCTGTGAGCGAGGCTGACACCACGACACTCTAGCCCAGGCAACAGAGTGAGACTCTGTCTCAAAAAAAAAAAAAAAAAAAAGATTTTCTCCTGTGTTTTTTACATTTTTTACATTCAAATTCCCCTCACGATGCCCTCAGGCACCTACCTTGCCCGTCACCTGGGGCTCACCTGTATATTGATTTTTGAGGAATTGCTAAACTGTTCTCCTCAGCAGTCGTACCATTTCCATCCCTACCAGCAGTGCACAGGGTTCCTGTTTTCCCACGTCCTCACAATCACTTGCAATTTCCCCTTTTTGGGGGGTTGTTTTTTAAAATTATCGTCATCCTAATTGGTGTGAGATGATTTCATTGTGGTTTCGGTTTGAATTTCCCTGGTGGCGAGTGACCATGAGCATCGTTTTGTGTGTTCAGTGGCCATTGTGTCTGTTCTTTGGAGACCCAGTGTGGTTTGGATTGATTTTTGTTTTAATGGTCAGTATTTTGATTTATTTATTTAAAATAAACTTTTAATTTTAAAACAGATGTGCAAATTGCAAAGCCAGTACAGAGAGTACCCATATGTCTGATACACAGTTTCCACTTTTTTTTTTTTGAGGACAGAGTCCTCACATCTGTTGCCCGGCTAGAGTGCCGTGGCATCAGGCCTAGCTCACAGCAACCTCAAACTCCTGGGGCTCAGCCATCCTCCTGCCTCAGCCTCCTGAGTAGCTAGAACTACAGGCATGCGCCACCATGCCTGGCTAATTTTTCTAGTATATATTCGTTGGCCAATTAATTTCTTTCTATTTTTAGGTAGAGACAGGGTGCTCGCTCTTGCTCAGGCTGGTTTCAAACTCCTGACCTTGAGCGATCTGCCTGCCTTGGCCTCCCAGAGTGCTAGCCTCCACTATTAATGATGCATTAGTTTGGCACATTTATTACAAACAACCAATATGACACATTGTTACCTCAAGTCCATTCTTTATTCAGATTTCTTTAGTTTTTACTTAATATCTTCTTTTTGTCCCAGGAAATCACATTACATCTAAATGTTTGGTCTTTTTAGTCTCCTCCTGCATGTGACAGTTTCTCAGCTGCTCCTTGTTGCGACTGTGACCTGGGCGGGCAGGGGGAGGAGGGTGGGGTGGGTGTGTGTGGTAGATGCATGGAGGAACATTTGAAATTGGGAAGTGCGAGTCCTCTTCCTTTGTTCTTCTTTTGCAAGGTCCTTTTGAATTATCTAGGTCTCTGGCGTTTCAAAATGAATATAAAGATCACCTTTTCCATTTCTGTAAAAAGAGCAGGTGAAAAAAAATTTTTTTTTTTTTTTTTTGCGACAGAGTCTCACTCTGTTGCCCTGGCTAGAGTGCCGTGGTGTCAGCCTAGCTCACAGCAACCTCAAACTCCTGGGCTCAAATGATCCTCCTGCCTCAGCCTCCCGAGTAGCTGGGACTACAGGCATGGGCCGCCATGTGCAGCTAATGTTTTCTATATATTTTTAGTTGCCAATTTTCTTCTTATTTTAGTAGAGATGGGTCTCGCTCTTGCTCGGTAGGTTTTTTTTTTTTTTTTTTTTTTTTTGAGACAGAGCTCACTTGTTGTCCAGGCTAGAGTGAGTGCCGTGGCGTCAGCCTAGCTCACAGCAACCTCAAACTCCTGGGCTGAGTGATCCTTCTGCCTCAGCTCCGGGTAGCTGGGAACAGGCATGCGCCACCATGCCGGCCTATTTTTTATATATATATCAGTTTGGCAATTCATTTCTTTTCTATATAGTAGAGGACGGTCTCGCTGTTGCTCAGGCTGGTTTGAACTCCTGACCTTGAGCAATCGCCCGCCTCGCCTCCAAGAGCTAGGTATTACAGGCGTAGCACGCGCGCCCGCAAGCAGTTGAATTTTAATACACATCGTGCTGAGTCTGTAATCTCTTGGTTGGAATGTTGTCACCCTAAGACTATTGAGTCTTTCCATTTATTGTGTCTTTAATTTCTTTCAACAATGTTCTGTAGTTTTCAGAGTTTAAATTTTGCACTTCATCAGTTTATTTCCAGGTGTTTGTTCTTGATGTTATGTAAATGGAATTGTTTTCTTTCTTCTTTTTTTTTGAGACACATTCTTTCGTTGTACCCAGGCTAGAGTGGAGCGCCGTGCGTCAGCCTCGCTCACAGCAACCTCAACTCCTGGCTCAAGCAATCCTCCTGCCAGCCAAGTAGCTGGGACTACAGGCATTCACCACATGCCCGGCTAATTTTTCTATATATATGAGTTGGCCAATTAATTTCTTTTATGGTAGAGACAGGGTCTCGCTCTTGCTCAGGCTGGTTTCGAACTCCTGAGCTCGAGCAATCTGGCCGCCTCGGCCTCCCGAGTGCTAGGATTACAGGTGTGAGCCACCGCGGCCCGGCCGGAATTGTTTTCTTAATTTCATTTTTGCTTGCTCATTGCCAGTGCATAGAATTGCGACTTACTCTTGTGTGTTGACCTTTGTGTTCTGAGACCTTGCTGGGCTTGTTCATTAGCACTAATAGTTTGTGGTTTGGAAAAGGGGTTTTTTTTTTTGTGGATTTTCTGTATTCAAGATCGTGTCATCTACGAATAAGGATAGTTTTGCTTCTTCGCTTCCAGTCGGAATGCCTTCTCCTTGCTTTTCTTGTCAACTGCCCTGTCTGGAGGCTCCAGTGCGGTGTTGACTGCAGCCGGCAGGGACGACTTGCTCGTCTTACTCCTGGTCTCTGGAAAGCACAGGTCTCTACCCACCGAGTCTTGTCAGCGTGGGGTTCATGGGTGCCCATCAGGTGGGGAAGTTCTGGTGCATTCCTAGGTTTCTTCAGCATTTTTTTTTTTTTTGAGACAGATCTCACTTGCTTGCCAGGCTAGAGTGAGTGCCGTGGCGTTAGCCTCGCTCACAGCAACCTCAGACTCCTGGGCTCAAGCAATCCTCCTGCCTCAGCCTCCCGAGTAGCTGGGACTACAGGCACGAGCCACCATGCCCGGCTGATTTTTTATATTATATATATTAGTTGGCCAATTAATTTCTTTCCTATTCTTTCATGGTAGAGACGGGGTCTCGCTCAGGCTGGTTTTGAACTCCTGACCTTGAGCAATCTGCCCGCCTCGGCCTCCCAGAGTGCTAGGATTACAGGCGTGAGCCACCGCGCCCGGCCTCTTCAGCATTTTTATCATGAAAATGCTTTTTCTGTGTGAAATGAGATGATGATATGGGTTTTTCCCTTGGTTATCATGATGTATTATATTGACTGATTTTCTTATTTTGAACCATCCCTGCATTCCTGGGATAAATCTTACTTGGTCATGGTGTAGAACCCTTTCTGTATACTGCTGGATTTGGTTTCCTAGTATTTTGTCTAGGATTTTTGCATCCATATTCGTAATTGTATTGTCCAGTAGTTTTCCTGGAATCTTTTTTCTGATTTGGGCATGGGCATCAGTTAGGATTTGTGTGCTGTCTTTCTCATGGCTTGACTAGGATCCAGGCACAGGCCATCACTACGGCTTGTCACTGGTGGTGCCGACCCGACCGCCTGGCTGGGTGTCTGTGAGGTTTCTCCCTGGGCAGTGACTCTTTACTGCCCCACACCCTGGGAGTCTGTCCCACCCACTCGGAGGGGTTCGTGCTGCAGGACAAGGCAGAGCACCGTGTCCTGCACTGTCCGCCTCTGTCCCCTGAGACTGTGTGCCACCTGCTCCAGCCCCGGCCGAGCCCGATGGGGGGCCTCCTCTCTGTGTGGCCAGGGCCTGCGCTGAGCCACCTGCATGTTCTCATTCCCGCCGCGCCTCCTGGACCTCTGCTTGGCCATCTGGTCTCCAGGCCACCGAGCCTCCTCCTCTTTGTCACTTGGCTGGTGGCTGGAGGGGCTTAAAGGGAGAGTCAGGCCTACTCAAGGGCGAACCCCCTCCCTGGAGGGACAGTCCCAAAGTGGTTCTAAGACCAAGAGGAACATCTGGCTAACATTGGTGTCTGTGTGTCTGGGAAAGGCTGTTGTGTGTCATATGAAGACAGAAGAGATGTCCCATGAAGGTGACTCCTCCATGAGGGTGTCTGGCCCTGCAGACCCATTGGGGGTGGCGGGCAAAGGCAGAAGCACACGGCCGCCTCCGTGGCCCATCTGACCGGTGTTCCGAGTCCCACCACCTGCTCCGGGGTGAGCACAGGTGCAGAGACGTGGGGCAGAACTCTAGGGGTTCCCTCCCGCACCCGCCACCTTGCCAGGTCTCAGGACCCCTGGTCTCCAGCCCTGCCTAGGGTGGGAGAGCCAGCGAGGCAGGGCACTGCACTGGACAGGCGGACGGAGACGCAGCCACACATGGGACCCGAGTTCCCAGCCGCCACCCACTCCTGGCCCCACTAACGATGACGTTGGCCTTGCAGACTGTGCAGGATGGCCGGCAGTTTCTGAAATACATCGACCCCAGCCTGGGGGTCCCACTGCCAGAGAGGGACTATGGGGGAAACTGCCTCATCTATGACGCAGACAACAAGACTGACCCCTTCCACAACGTCTGGGTAAGGGCTGGGAGTCCTGAGGTGGGTCCCTCTCAGGTGCGGCACTGGCCCCCCGAGGGTCAGGCACCGTGTTGGGTGCCCAGGCATAAGGGGTTTCACAAGCTCCGTGACTGCATGAGGTTGTCACCCACAAGAGGGTCTCCTCCTGGTCCAGAGACTTGCTCTGGCCAGTCAGTTTAGATGGGGCTCCCAGGGGTGGGGCACCTGATCTCTGGGCTGTCCGGCGTGTCACCTGCAGGGGCCGAGGGAGCGTCCCCCAGGCCGGCGGGCGATGCTCAGAGGTTCTGTGGTCCCAACTGGCCTGCCAGCGATGGGGGAGCTGAAGCAAGGGGTGGGGCTGCACCTGAGGGTCAGGCCTGTCGCCCACAGGACAAGCTGGATGGCTTTGTTCCCGCACACTTTCTCGGCTGGTACCTGAAGGTATGGCAGCCTCCTCTTCTGACCCGACACCCTTCCCTGCCCTGCACTCTGGGCTGTTTCTGGCCACACGGTTGACCCTCTGTGCGCTTTGAGTGTGGTGGGTGAGAGAGCCCTGGCCGTGAGGCACTGTGCCTCCCGCAGGGTCTGTGAACACTCCTGGGAGCCCCGAGTCTCCCATCAGGGCTGGAACAGATCCTTGCTCTGTCCCCAGCATTGCAGGGGCCAGTTAGGGAAGGAGACAGAGAGAGAGAGAGACAGGAAGTCCCACCCCAGCCTGGGCTCATTCACCACTCCTGTCCCACTTCTGAAGGAGGGGGCTGGCGCTACCTACAGGGCCAAGAGCAGTGCCTGAGTTACCCCACGCTTACGCAGTAGCCCCGGCATGCGGCCTTGGCTGGCCTGGCGGGGGGACCAGGCCTTCCCTGTGGAGGTCTGAGCTCAGGGCCTGGGCATGTGGACACTGCCTCATTTGCTGAAAGTCTTAAAAATCAAGGCTCTTGGGGAGATAGCTGCCCACCTCACATGCTCACCCTGGACCTTACTGGGCCCGGGGGGCCCTGCTGGTTGGGAGGTGGGGCTGGCATTCCCCGTGGGTGAGGCTTGTGTGCGAGGAGACCCCCCTTGCACGCTCAGCGATGAGCCCCGACCCTGGCGTGCGTCCCACAGACGCTGATGATCCGGGACTGGTGGATGTGCATGATAGTGAGCGTGATGTTCGAGTTCCTGGAGTACAGCCTCGAGCACCAGCTGCCCAACTTCAGCGAGTGCTGGTGGGACCACGTAGGTGCCCTGTGCGGCCTCCCAGGGCGGTGGGCTCAGGCCTGGGGTGGGGCTGGTGCGTCCTGGGGCAGGCCGGACGTGATAGGGTTGGCTGTGGGTGTGGCCAGTCCTTGTGCCCCCAGATCTGTGGGGCAAGGTGTCGCCTTCTGGTGCTGGGTGGGGGTCCCACGGGTGTCTGCCTCCCCCCTGGTTCCTGCCCCCAGTGGATCATGGACGTGCTCATCTGCAATGGGCTGGGCATCTACTGCGGCATGAAGACCCTCGAGTGGCTGTCCCTGAAGACCTACAAGTGGCAGGGCCTCTGGAACATTCCAACCTACAAGTACGTCTTGGGAACCTCAGTGGGACGTGGGTGGGTGTGGCACTTGAGGTGACTTCTGCTGCCCTGCCTCGGTGGACCCAAGGGCCAGGCCTGTCCAACATGCTGCTGGGGAGTGGGGGGGCCTTCCAGAATCTCCACTGTGTTGCACCAGCCACCCTGGCACTGCCCCTTGCTTGTGGTCTCGTTATGAAGCAGTTGCCAGCTCTCTGTTGTTTTTACTTTGGAATTTGAAAAAAAGAAACAAACGTCTAAGAAAAGTCCTGTGGCCATACTGGGGAGGTCTCTCCTCCTGTCGGTGCCCTAGGCCCACTTGGGGCCAGGGCCGCGCTGGCTGGGATGGAAGCGGGTTCTAAACGGGAGGCCCGCGGCAGGTGGGGCTTGTGCCTGGGTGCCTACACCCAGTTGCTCTGCCTCTGTCCCCGGGGCTGGCGCTGCCCCACAGCTAGAGAGTGGCCTGGCGGCACCTCGTGACCTGGAGCAGAGCAGTCCTGGGGTGTGAGGTGGGGCTTGGGTAGGCCCTCGTCCTCAGGCTGATGGCTGTCTGGTCGCCAGGGGCAAGATGAAGAGGATCGCCTTCCAGTTCACGCCCTACAGCTGGGTCCGCTTCGAGTGGAAACCTGCCTCCAGCCTGCGCCGCTGGCTGGCCGTGTGTGGCATCATCCTGGTGGTAAGGCCGGGCTGCCCTGTGGTCGTGCGGCTGACTGGGCAGCCAGAGCAAGGGCTCACCCTCCTCCGCACGCTCTTCCGTCCTCCAGTTTTTGTTGGCGGAACTGAACACATTCTACCTGAAGTTCGTGCTGTGGATGCCACCTGAGCACTATCTGGTCCTCCTGCGGCTGGTCTTCTTCGTAAACGTGGGCGGCGTGGCCATGCGCGAGATCTACGACTTCATGGACGACCCGTGAGGGCTGCAGGCCGGGGCTGGGGTGCGGGGAGGAGGCGTGGAGGGCAGGAGGCAGAGCCTGGGTGTGGTGGCCTGGAGGACCCCACATGGGTTGGGGAGCTGGGCCAGCTGCTGCCCCCTCTGCAGGAAGCCCCACAGGAAGCTGGGCCCGCAGGCCTGGCTGGTGGCAGCCATCACGGTCACGGAGCTGCTCATCGTGGTGAAGTACGACCCGCACACGCTCACCCTGTCCCTGCCCTTCTACATCTCCCAGTGCTGGACCCTCGGCTCCATCCTGGTGCTCACCTGGACCGTCTGGCGCTTCTTCCTGCGGTCAGTGGGGGCAGGGATGGTGTTCTTAAAGGAGGGCCCCTGCCCCGGCCAGCTGTTTTCCTCGTCTCCTGGCACAAGCTCTGCTGCAGTTTGTTTAAGTGGCATTTGAGCAGCTGTCCCTGCCCAACTTCTGGCTGCTGCTGTGCAGGCCTTCCTGGGACAGCCAGCCTGGGCCCCTCCTGACCCACGGTCTCCCAGGGGCTTGGCCCTCCTGACCTCTGAAGGGATGAAGGTGCACAGGTGTCCAGGGGCCTGCACCGGGGGCTGGTGCGGGAGCAGGTGTGATCGGGCCTCCCTGCCCCCACCCCCAGGGACATCACCTTGAGGTACAAGGAGACCCGGCGGCAGAAGCAGCAGAGCAGGGGAGGCCCAGGCAGAGCCGTTGGCAACGGGGACCAGCACCTGCTGGGGCTGGACGAAGACCTGCCAGGGCCTGGGGTGGCAGAGGGGACGGAGGAGCCAGCTCCAAACTGACCTGCGCCTCAGCCACCCCGGGGGCCTCCCAGAACCCAGGCCGCTCAGAACCGCTGCCGGGCTTGCCCTGAGGTTTTATTTTCCTTCCTCCTGCGCACTCCACTCAGCAGGGATTGAGGAGGGGGTGAAGGGAGCCCCGCCCTGGCTGCTTCTACGTGTGTGCATGTGAGCGTGTGCACACGGGTGACTGCGTGTGGTATGCACGTGTGTCCTTGGCTCCAGGGCAGCTGGTTCGTCTGGAGTGAGGTCCCTGCTCCCCTCCTGCCCGCTCAGCCCACTGGCCTCCGACCTCGAGTGCCCCGTCACCCGGCCCTGGCACGGCCCCGCCTGGCACCGGCTGCCCCCTCTCCACGCCCTGTGCCCCAGCTGCTCTGAGGCAGCGTGGTGGGGTCCAGAGGCCCCTCCTGGCGGCGTGTACAAAGGACAGTCGACCACAAACACTCCGTGGCGAGAGGCGTCGATCCGGGCGGCAGCACTGAGCCATTTCCTCGAGTCCTCGTCAGGCAGACTGACCTGGCGGTGTGTGGATCGCTGGACTGGCCCCTCAGGGTACACTGAGTCAGAAACTCCAAGGGCCAGAGGCCTGTAACTGGGTGCTGAGACCCGTGTCTGTGGCTCCCTGAATTTAGGGTCATCCCCATGAGCAAAGAGAACAAATAAAGTGGCGACAAAGGTCTGCAGCCTCCTCCTCCCTGCCTCCCACACTTCCCGGGAAACCCCGCCAAGCACGGTGGGGCCAGCAGGCTGGCTCTGCCTCTGCCCAAGGCCCCTGGGTACGGCGGGTGCGTGTGTGGGACGCCGGGCCACCTCCCCACCTGCTGCATCTGTCCCTGGCTGCGCGATGGGGCTGGCGACCACTGGGCAGTGGCCACAGGGTTCCTGGGAGGGGCAGCCACATTCTCAGGCTGGAATTTTTAAAAGGTTACCATGAAAATTTTCAAATGCATACGAAGAGTCAAAAGTGCAGTGGAAAATTTCCACTCTCCGTTAAGTCGTGAGGCTGGAATGTGGGGCGCACTTGAGAACAGCACCCCAGACGCCTCTGCACAAGGACGTGCTGACGCCCTGCCCTGCCCAGCGCCCAGCCAGGCCCTGCCCAAGAGCCGGCAGGTCAGCTCCCCGCAGTAGTGTCTTTGAGTCCTGTGCTGTGTCCCCAAGGCTGTCCCTCCATGGGCCTCTGTGGCCCTGAGAGGGCCAGGGTCACGCTGGCTGCCCTCATGCCCATCTGGAGCAGCTTGACGCACCCTCAGCACCCCTGGAGGCTTGTCCTGGTCCCTCACGTGTGGCAGCTTTGACCCCTTGGTGAGAGTGGCTGCCCCGTCTCCCCGCTGCAGGGACCGCCTCCCTCACGCCCCCTAGGCCACTGCCACCCCTCTGGGCTGCGTCTGGGTGGGTGGAGGTGGCACCTTGCTGGGGTTCTGCCCCATCCCATCCTCACTTGTCCCAGCTCTGGTCTCTGAGGCTACAATACACTCCAGGACCACCTTGTGCGTTTCTTGCCCCGGGCCTGGGTCACCCTTTTCTCCAGGGAGCCTTGGATCCTCTGAGTAGGGGATCAGATTTGTCACAGAAACTTCAGATGGTGGGCACCTTAACGGGCGTCACAGCAGCAAACCTGAAGTTTCTGCCAGGCACTGGGGCCTCCGAGACTGAGGAGCATCCCGCAGGCCTCGTGCAGCAGCCCCCTCTGGACGTACAGGTCACCCCTGGGCTGCCCTGCCCTAGGGAAGACGAGGCCAGCGGGGCTTGAGCTGCGCCCGCCCACCCCATGCAGAGAGCAGAGCTGACGGGGCTCAGGCCGGAGGGGAAGGCGGGCGGGCGGTGTTCAGCCCCAGGCTGCAGACGGTCAGGCCAGGGCAGCTCCCGGCAGGCCACGCACAGCCAAGAGGTCCTGCCACCTGCGGGCTGACACGCCCCGTTCCCCCAGAGTGGCGGGAGGTGGGCTTCGTTAATAATGGCAGACAGAGGGCAAGACCACTGCTAGTCCTGGGCAGCGCAGTCTCCTCAGGGGGCCCCACAAGGAAGGACGGGCACCTCCTGCCACAAAAGTGCTTTAATGACTATAAAGTGTCTAAAATGTTCTAAAATAAGTTGATTTAAGCGTTTCTGTCCAGGCAAAGCTAGGACACCCACAGAGTGAGCACCCGGGGAGCAGGTCCACCCTGTGGGTGGGCTGAGTCTGCTGTCCAGGGAGAGCAGGTTCAGTAGCCTGGTGGCCAGCGGTGCTCTCAGGAGATGATCCTCAAGGACGGCTTGTGCTCCTCCAGGGCCCTCAGCTGGTTGTCCATCTCCTCAGACCAGTAGATGTCGTACAGGCTGCGCACGGGTGGGCAAGGAGTGGGCTGGGTGTCCCCGCCGCCCGCCCCCGCCCTGGTCTGCCTGAGCCCCCACCCCGGCGTCCACTCACACCAGCTGCTCTAGGGCGCAGGCCGGTTGCCGGAGGCTCTCTATCAGCTGCAGGACGCCCGGGTCTCCCATGCAGTTGTTGCTGAGGTCCAGCTCGCGCAGGCTGCGGTTGGCCAGCAGGGTCGAGGCGAGGCTGCCACAGCCACCATCAGTCACCTCACAGTCCCCCAGCCTGGGGGGAGCAGGGTGTAGAGGTCAGCACCAAGGATGGGCCACGTGACCTGGGCCTGTGTTGCCACCAGACCGTGGGATGGTGACGGGGGCCCACGCCCTGCATGCCCGAGGACCCTGTAATACGCCTGCTCCGACTGCCCCCCCCCCCAGCCCGGCAGCTGTATCTCAGTCCCAGTCTGGCCCCAGGCACATCAGACCGTGAATACAATGGACAGAGAGCTCTTTAGAAGCTGCCAAAGGATCACAGTGGATTACAGATCAGGACAGCAGAGCCTTCCCAGAAGACAGAAAACAGCACAGCACCACTGGCCAGTGCCGAGGGCCCACGTGCGGCCCAGGACTCCACACCCAGCCAAAGCGTCCACGGTTACCTCCGTATGACGGGTCTCAGGAAGCTGCTACAGAAGGTGCTTTAGCAAGAGTGGGGGAGACCAGGCTTCAAGCGTGGGACCCCTGACCCGCTTACTGTTAAAACAGGAACCACAGGCACACGCACCAGAGCACCCGCAGCACGGAGCCAGGCTGGCGCAAGCCCTGGCTGAGCTCATGCACACCCGCGTCGCCCAGCTTGTTGCTGCTCATCTGCAGCTCCAGCAGGGACTTGTTCTGCGCCAGCACCGAGCTGAAGTGGGGGCAGCACGCGGTGGTGAGGCTGCAGGTCTTCACCCTGTGGACAGGCGAGGGCTGGGCCACAGCCGCACCGGCCCTTCCCCCAGGCCCCCAGCACCCCCTTACCGGGCACCTGCCAGGCCACACCCCCTCCCGGGCAGGACCCGAGGGTCAGGGCTGAGCTGGCAGCCCCAGCGCCTCACCGCTCCCGCTGCCCCTCACCACAGTGACTCCAGCTGGCAGCTGGGATCCAGCAGGCTCTCGCACAGCAGCCGGGCGCCCGCGTCCCCCAGCTCGTTGCCGGCCAGGCTGAGCTCCTTGAGGCTCTCCTTGGCCCTGAGGACGCGGCACAGCTCCCGGCAGCCCTCGGCGGTGATGCCGCACTCCCAGAGCCTGCAGGGCAGCGACACGCTCTACAGACGCTCCGGGAGTGGGGAGGGCTCCCGGGACGACCGACCCCCGCTCCCCACCCCTGCTGCTGTAGGAGGCCGACTCACCACAGAGTCCTGAGCCGGGAGCTGGGCTGCAGCAGCCCGGGGCACAGCTCCGCCAGCCCCGCGTCGCCCAGCTGGTTGCTGCCCAGGTCCAGCTCCTTCAGCGAGGCCTTGGAAGCCAGGATGCCGCACAGGTCCCTGCAGTTGGCTGCCGTGACGCCGCAGCTCTCCAGCCTGGGGCACAAGATGAGTGTGGGAGCAGGGACCCCACCCCCGCTCCCCACCCCCTGCCCGGCCCGCGCCTACTTGAGCGACTCGAGCTGGCAGGCGGAGTCCTTCAGGCCCTGGCACACCACGCGGACGCCAGCCTCGCCGATGTCATTGTTGCTCAGCATGAGCTCCTTGAAGTCCGGCTTGGCCCTGAGCACCGAGGCCAGGGGCTCGCAGCTGGCAGCCGTGAGGTTGCAGTACTCCAGCCTGGGGTAGGCAAGCAGGTCTCAGCCCCCGAACGGGACCGGCCGAGGGTGCAGCGCCAGGGAGCCCCTCGGGAGGTGGTGTCCCCTTAGCACCGTTGGAGCGCCCAGGCCCAGAGAGCCACCTTCAGGGCTCAGGTTGGGCAGGGAGCGCCCAGAGCTCCAGCCCATGTGGACACTGGAAACCCTTCACCAACCAAGAGGCCCACCTCACACCCCAGGGCTCCGCCAGACCTGGGAGAAATCACACGCTTGGCTGGGCCACCTGACCCGGTTCCCGCCATGGGGTCCCAGGATGGCTGCCAGCTCCTTGCAAGGGCAACTGGACGGGAGGTGGGAGACGAGGAGACCCCAGTCCCCTCCTCAGAGCTCCCTGCAGCCCATGAGCAGTGGAGGGGGCAGCGGGGAACCACCCCGCAGGGCACACACTCACTGCAGCCTTTCCAGGTAGCACCGGGGGTCCAGGAGTCCCTCGCAGAGCAGCCGCAGGCCCCCGTCGCCCAAGGGGTTGTCGCTGAGGTGCAGCTCGCGCAGGGTGGGCACAGAGCGCAGCACGGCGGGGAGGACCCCGCAGCCGGCCTCGGTCAGGCAGCAGTTCTGCAGGCTGGCGCACACCGGCCATCAGGGCCTCCCCAGGGCCAGGCTGCACCTTGCAGGGGGCAGGTCTGTGCCTGCGCCTTCCCTGGGCGGGGCTCTGGGTCTGCAGGGCTACGGGGCGGGCCGTGTCTGCAAAGCCCTTGTCAGCAGGGTGGTGACAGGAGGGGCCCCGGCCCCGCAATGTGTGGACACCACCCCGTGTGCCTCTGATTGAAGATGACACGCCCGCAGCCACCGCTGCCCCCCGTAGCCCCTGCAAGCCCGGGCAGGGGCGCCCACTCACCTCAGCTTCTGGATCTTGCAGGTGGGGCTCTGCAGGCCCTGCAGCACCAGGTGCACGCCGGCATCGCCCAGCTCGTTGCTGCGCAGGCTGAGCTCGGTCAGGGCAGGGTTGGCCCGCAGGGCGGAGCTGATGTCCTGGCACCGCACCTCCGTGAGGCCACAGTCGTCCAGCCTGCAGAGGGCAGGACCCCTGGAGTCACCGTGTGGCCACACCAGCCTCACACTCAAGGACCACGCCCAACGCAGGGTGTGGCCCAGCAGTGGGCCAAGAAATCAGCAAGATGGGTCACACCAGGATGTTTCAAAAACAACACAAAAAACAGGAAGAATTGCTTTACA